ACAAAGATGAGGAAACAATTCACTCAGTCTTTATATGGCCACCCAGAGTTTTCGTTTGTGGTTAAATTTTAAAACAGTGAAACAGTGTGAACTTTGAGGTGTAATCTTTTTGTAAGTGTGAATTTTAGTGTGCATATCGAAACCTTTACTGAGCTTTAGTATCTTTACAATTAAAACTTTCTTTTTGAACTGTTTTAAAACTAAAGGACTGCCTCGAAAAAAAATAAAATAAAACTAAAGGACTGACCAAGAAAATAAAACATTACATTAATGGCACAACTTAGAAATTTTCCTTGGTGCAAAGTTTTCGATGAGGTTAATCGGAAATGAAAATAGTTGCAGTCTAAACAGAACTAAACAGTGTACAGTAAAACATTTTTTAAATTGCTCCTCCATTTTTAAATTGTGAAGAGCAGCACACAGCAGTTGTAGAGAAGACTATCAGCTATGCAACGACAAAAATGTTAAGATATGCATTTACACTGAATAATCAAATTTGAAGAATGCCAGGAAAGCGACTGAAAGATGTTGGTCTTGAATGATCAGAAGAAATTAAAAGAGCAATGTTCAAATGCCTTGATCATTTTCACCATAAATGGACATTTGTTCTAAATCAATGGATCAAATAATGTCAATGTTCACCAGCATTGAGCTATTTGCTCTCAATTTTTGCAAAAGAAAAATTTTGGAGGATTTTTATCAGATTTAAAAGGCATTTATCTTGAATTCTCTGGTTTATATATATTAGTGGAATTTTTTAGTCCAAGAAGCGTTTTTGAAAGTCACTAGGATAGATCCTGAAGTTTTAAGAATCCAGGAATTAATTGTGAAATGGAATATTAATGAATATCTACAAAACTTATCTTTATTTTCCTATTTGTGTTTCTGTTGCTTTAAATAATAAAGCAGTTATTCACTCAACTATGAATAAAGAATGACCAACCTGGCTATACTCTGTAGGGATATGAAAACACCAGTTTTTATAGTCCAAGACACATCGGCAGAATGTTCAAAAACAGTACATGTGATGTTATTATTTATTATAGTGAAAGGCTAGTATTTTTCCATTTTCATAAAATACACTAAAAAAGTATTAATCCATTATTTCGTTCTTTTTGTGTTCCTTTACCATGCTTTCCCATTTGCCCTGCTGCCTTCTTAATCTTTCTTGCTTTTACTTGATCAATCAAATTACTTTTATTGCTTCTTTTCCTCTACTGGTTTGGAAATTAAATCTGGCTTAAAAAGTATGTATCCTGGTTTTATCTTTGTTACCTTTAACTTCTAAAAATACATAGCTAATGTCATGTTGATTTAACAAAGCCTAAAGTTAATATTTCTACCCATCTTCCAAACACTTCAGATGTATTAATTACTATATATATGTTTTTCTATGTTTACTTAGGGAAAAAAAATCCTCGATTTCCCAAGTATCACATTCTTAACCCAAATAATTTGGCTTTATTTCAGTATTAGCCATAGGTAGGGATGAGGGAGGAAAAAATGTGATTTAGCAGTGTAACTTCAGTATTGCTGCTGCTAAGTCGCTTCAGTCATGTCTGACTCTGTGTGACCCCATAAACGGCAGCCCACCAGGTTCCCCCGTCCCTCGGATTCTCCAGGCAAGAACACTGGAGTAGGTTGCCATTTCCTTCTTCAATGCCTGAAAGTGAAAAGTCAAAGTGAAGTCGCTCAGTCGCATCTGACTCTTAGCGAGCCCATGGACTGCAGCCTACCAGGCTCCTCCGTCCATGGGATTTTCCAGGCAAGAGTACTGGAGTGGGTTGCCATTCCCTTCTCCAACTTCAGTATTACATACTTGTTATTGCATGCCTATTATTATAGTCACCAGATAATATGTTAAACTTAGACAAGCTTTTGTTTTAATATGTTTAACAAAAAAGGGACAATGCACATATGAAAGGAGAAGGTATTAATTTCATAGACTATTAAAAAGCAAACAAAAAATAGAAATATCTCTGAAATTACTTGATAAAATGCTCAAGATGAATACAAACCAAGTATGTAAGAGTACAAGAAGTATGTATGCATGTACATCAGAAACAGGGAAAATACAGACATTAGAAAACAAATAATCCTAATTTTTCAGTATTGCTTGAAAAATAACAAAAAATATGTTCATTTTTTTTTTAAGCCCAGTGCAATAAGCCATAGCACTTAATCTGTAGCTGCCAGTAAAGAACACATCTGCTCCCATCATTGTACTGACCCCAAACACCACACCTAAAGACTAAAGCTTAGGTAGAACTAGAGACCACCCTCCAGCCCTACCTTTTCAATTGCATCCTTTGTACTATTTCTAGGGAGAGCTATAGATTTGGTATATAGTATACAATGTTACCAGGTCAAAGTGTTTGGATTTTATTAGGAGGGCAGAGGGAATGACATAATCATAACCCAGGTTTCAGTGAACTGAAGAGATGGAGAAAGAGAGACTGGGGAAAGCAGACTGGTTAGAAAACTATTTCACCAAACCAGGTGAGATATGATGAAGGTACAATAGCAGTAAAATGGAGAACAGTGAACAGTGACTTCCCTGGTGGCTCAGAGGGTAAAGCACCTGCCCGCAATATGGGAGACCCAGGTTTGATCCCTGGGTTGGGAAGATCCTCTGGAGAAGAAAATGGCAACCCACTACAGTACTCTTGCCTGGAAAATTCCATGGACGGAGGAACCTGGTATGCTACAGCCCATGGGGTTGCAAAGAGCTGGACATGACTGAGCGACTTCACTTAAACTTAAAAAAAAAAAAAGATTAGGGAGATACTAAAGAGCTGGAATTGGTACAATCTGGTTACTAAAGATGTTGAGGAGAGGAAGAGTTGAAAATGATTCCTTGGTTTCTGGTCTGCTCTGGACAACAAGCACATTCCTTACATGCAGTCTGGGCTAGGAAATATGAGATGGAAGTTTATTAAGTGGAGAAGTGGATAGAGAAAATATCAGATCGCTTTTGCAATCAGCCAATAAAAGAATAAATTTATTCTGTTACAACAAACTATAACTGTGCATAGATGAGATCTAAATTCATTTTTAGAGATAAGGCCACCGAGGGTAAGTAGGTTCAAGAATGAATTCCCAAACAGTTCTGGACACACCAAAGCTTCTCAGTGCTGCTCATGATTTAGCAAATATTCACAATCCACTCTAAATTCATAGAAAGGGTTAACATTTCTTCCTTCAAGTCTATTTAAATAGCTAGCAATTTAGTAATAGCTAAAAAATAATCCAGGTGATTTCTTTCAAATGGTAAGTTAAAAGGATATGGTGATATATTTGTTCATACTTACCCCTTAAATACAGAGGTATTAACACTTTAGTTCTCTGAGCTGTAATGAGGACAGTTTAGGGGTAAGTACCAACTCATCACTCAAGAGAAGAAATAACAATACATTCTTGAAGGACCCAAGTTAAAGGGGCAGACCAATTAAACATGTATCATCATCACAGGGACTCTTCTCAGGGCCTGAGAGCAAAAACAAATAACTACTTGGGGGATGAAAATGCTCTAAAATTGATTATGGTTATAGCTACACAACTCCATGAATATTTAAAAACTAGTGAATTGTGTGAGGTGAATTAAAACTCAATAAAAATGTTATTCTTTTTTTAATAAGCGACTTTTTAATCCATCAATAGCAGGTTTTATAAATGCTTTAATTTTATACTAGGCTTTTCAGGCTTACCAGATTTCAAAATAAGCGGGAAAACAGAGAAAATGTATATTTTATTGGTATATCATAGTTCAAATAAAATGGAACAGAGCAATTTATTTACTCTAATCAAATAAAACATATAAACAATTCATTTAAAGTATCTGTTTTACCATCAAATGATTGTGTCCATGCAAATACAATCACCGCACAGTCCTTCTAAGCCCATATAGTAGCACCACCTTTTATTGCAGTACTTGATGTAAATTTCATCGTCAAACATATCTGGCTTTAGCAATGTAAACATCTGCTACAAGTAAACTTTAAAAGGTAAAAGTGAATGATACTAATGAATAAATCAAAAGAGAACTGAGCATCATCACATGATAAAATTCAACAAAATATTAGATAATACTGTTTCAATAAGAACTACAACTTAATACAGTTCACAAAATGGAAGCAAAAACAGAAAGTAGTGTGTAAACTCCCAAGAGTTTAAAATACTGAAGGATATAATATAAAACTTACCTCAGAAAAACAAAAGCATGCAATGAGTATTAAATTTGGTTTAGAAGTTACAATAGTCTTTTTACTGCAAAGCCTTTCTAAAATGTACTGTGATGAAACTATTTCTTTTCTATTTCCCTTTATTAAAAAAAATATGTTTAATCACATAGTTGGGTCCTTTGTGGGAATTTCACATGTTATCAACTATGGAATTGTCACCCAAAAAAACTTTCATCTCTAAACTATTTTTTTCAAATGGCCAAAAACATTATCTTCATGAAAATTACCATATATAAAGTCAAATAATTCCTAAACAAGTCATCATAAAAATAAATCTGCCTTAACAGAGTAAGTACAGAAGTGTATACATAAGTGCTGAATATCATGGAAAAATATTCAATGAAAAATGTTCACATTTATCATTACTGTTGATGATTTTGTTTACTTTCTGGTTAAAATTAAGAAACAAGTTTTCAGAGTCAGGAACATTCAGTGCCACTTTGAATTTGTCTCCAAACATACAAATGAGTTATATCCCTGTAGTGCAAGGCAGACTATTTTTACTTTTTAGCATAATTAAGTTATAAAGACCTCAAATTTCTAAAACCAGTTATAATACTGTGGCAAGGAAAACAAATTTGTTCGTATTGCTCTTATATTCTAGCTTAATCTACAAACATGAACATTTTCCAAATGCTGTCTCAAACCATACTAATACAAAAAGAGTCTACAGAGATCTCTCTGTTGATTTCCACAGATTAACTGAAGAGAAAAAAAGAAATACTATTTCATCTTCTCAATCTTAATAAGTTCAGCACATCAAGCAGCACTCGACACAGCAAGTTTTTTCAAGTGATCCATAAACACTTGCAAACTAACATCATCTGTAAGAATCGGTGCTCCAGACTCCTAGAAGAAAAGGAAGATATTTTCTATAATTAAAAACACAGGATGATACCTTAAAATGTATACGCAAATGTGTAAAAGAAAAAAATAGACAAGGAAATCATTTTAAGCAGAACAATGTCTACATTCTTGTATAATAAAGAATCTGACTGGTCTTTGTCCCAGATTCCTGAGAGGGAGACTACATCCTTGGAATCACCTGACAGCAGCATCTGTTATTCATGAGCCCTCAGATCACACTAGTTTATGCTGTGAGATGAGATGACTCAGGATAGGGACCAGTCACCAGAAAGATCAACCATGTAATTAGACGGCTGGGCTTTAAGAGAGCCTGACCTCCAGGGAGGAAGGGATGGAGTGGTGGGGGGCGGGGGCGGGGGAGGGGCGGTGCGGCTAGATTTTCAATCCATCATACAAAACAAAGGCAAAAGCAAAAAAAAAAAAAAAACCCACTGGATACCAAAGCCAAGTGGAGATTCCTATTTGAGGAATAAATACATCAATACATCAACTGGGAGGGTGACAAACCCCAATTCCATGGGAAAAGGAATTATCATCAGTTTTTTTTTTTTCATTTATTTTTATTAGTTGGAGGCTAATTACTTTACAATATTATCAGTTTTATAATAAAACTGTCATCATAAATACAGTGCTTTTCTGAGTTCTGTGAGTTGTTCTAGGGAATTTCCAAACCTGACGGGGGTTGTGGGAACCTCTTATCCACCCCACCCACCCATCTCCCATCCTACCACTCTCCCTTTCTCACCACCCTCCACACATAGATTTGAGCCAGCTGGTCGGAAATGTGGGTAACCTGGGATTCGACTTTTGGCTGGCATCTGAAGTAGGGTAGGTCTTGGGTGGACCATGTCCTTTAACTTTTGGGGTCTGCACTAACCCCAAGAGGTCAGAGTCAGATTTTTACTGCAATTCATCAGTTGGCATTAGAACAGCTCCATATCCAATTTAGTCTTTAAAGTAGTAACGTGTTAATTTGTCTTGAATTCATTGGTGCTTTTATCTCTACTAAGAAGTAAGCCTCCTTCACTGCTGCCTGTTTACTAAAATAAAATTTCAATTACACATATTTTAGCAGAACTGCCAGCTGGAAGGAAGAGAATTTATATCATGTTTTAAATAAAACACACATATATTTTCATTCAAGTCATTTTTATTGATTCTTGTGGGTTCTATGTAACTAACAAGAGTTTGGGAAAATTCCTGACTTCTATTTTAATAAAAACTGTGTTGATGAAATGATCTTAGTAATCCAATCCACTAATAATGAAATTTTATTGTAGCAAGAAAGTTTTCCTGGAGTATTTTATATCTGGATTTTTAAATTCTTCACCTGATATCCAATTTATTTATAGGTATATATAAAAGTCTAAAATAAGGAAATTAAGTAATTTTCAGAGGATATCAGCAAATTAGTGGCAAACATGAGATAAGAATTTACAGCTCTTGTGGATCTTATCTGGTATAGCCACAGACATGCCATAACCTCTCCTGAATAAAGGAAAATCAATTTTATTATGTTTTCATATGTGAATTCATAAGAATTTGAAAAACTACATAATGAAGGGAGACAACAGCACTGGAATTAAGAGCTTAGAGACTGGAGCCAGACAGACTGAGCTCAAATCCTGGCTCTGCTGCTTACTGCCTGTATGACTTTGAAGAAGTGACTTAACCTCTCTGAGTCTTAGTTTCCTTGTTTGTAAAATACAGGTAAGAACAGAACCTACTGCACATGGTTGTTTTATTGATTAAATGAGTTAAAGTGTATAAAGAAAAGAGAACAATACCTGACACATGCAGCTGGCCTAAACATTAGTATCTATTTTAGAAAATCTATTCTTTTATAGGCTGAAATACTTCTTATTCTACATTCCTAGTTAACACAGGAAGTAAGGTATCAAAAATATGACTTAAACTAGTAAGCCAATAGCTCCCTTTTCTTCTTCCTGTAATTATACCTGATTTTTTTTCCACTTTACACATTTTCCACCTCAATTCACCCAATCCCAGATCTACTTCTCCTAGTAAAGACAAAATATATATGGGTTTTCTAATTTATATACTGTGACCTTATTTGAAATGATAAATACTAAATGCTCAACTTAATCTTATCAAAAATTTCCAGCTGACTGATCTCAATTTTTCAACTGTACCCTTTTTCTCTTTAACATACACCCAGGATTGGGCAGAAAGGGCCAAGTTTTCCATCATTTAGTATATGAAGCACTACAGCAACAGAGGCCTCCAGCACCACCACAGAAGCAGCGTTGCGGCGGTGCCCCCTTCAGGTCATCCATGGATAATACTTACACTGGATTCTTGACTTCTGACAAAAAGAAAACTAAGGTATTAGATTTCATCATTTTTAGCAAAATGCTTGGCTATCATGTTAACTCCCTAAATTTCAATCATCAATTTAGCTTAATGGTTAAAAATTCATATTCTGGAGTTAGAATGACCTAGGATCAAATCCAAACCCTTGTCACAGTTTATGTGATGTGGGGAAAAGTTACTTAATCTACTTAAGTGTCAATTTCCTCTTCTGAAAAATAACATTAACAGTACTCACCTCACAAGAGTGTTTTCATAAATAAGAGTTTATGAAAATCTTAGTATAATGACTAAAACAGTGTAGATTCAGTTTATTATTATCTATTAAAAAATTAACATAATTTCTCTTATAAAAGTCATTGTCAAGAAAAACCTTAGGCTCTTGGTTTCTTTCTTATAATTATCACATTTATTTAATTTTGACATTTCAAACAGCATTACAAAAAAGGGATGCTTTCAAATTTAACAAAATATAAAGACTGAGAAACACTGATATAAATACATCAGACCAAAAAAAAATAAAAAAATTAAAAAATACATCAGACCAAAATTTCATTGTTTTTAGACACATGAACTAATTCAACACAGACTGAAAGATCTCTCAAACAGTTTGGAACCAACCTAAAAGGAGTTGTTTGTTTTGTTTTCATAAGAGTCTATTCATAAAAGATAGGATCAAATGCCAGCTTCCCCCAAAGGTATAACTGTGACTAATTTCTAAATTTTCCTAAACCAGATGCATTTCTGGAAAAGATTATTATATTTTCTAAAATGTAATAATGAAAAAAAATCCAAACTGCTTTTAACTGCCTCTTTGAGGAAAAATCTTTATAAAATAACCTAAGGACAGACAGACCTGATAACGTAATTAAAACCGCCACATAGTGTAAGGATATAATTTAACCGAATGATTGCAAATATTTAAACAAGGTTTTATCAAATGAATAAAAAGAACTCGTTTAATGACAACTAAGCATATTTAAGTTTCTCCAAAGATGATGGCTTTCAAAATTGAATAGATGGATGGGTGGATGGATAAATGAATGAGTGAATAAGATAAACAATATGAATGTTTGTTCCTTGGCCTGGGATTTCCTTCTCCATCATATTCACCCAATGAAATGATCTCCTTCCTTCAGAGTCTGGCTTAAAATGTTAGGGCTCTTATTTATGCCTCTAATGTTCCTATTTCCAGGCAGTAATAATTAAGTTTCAGTTTAATTATTATAGGTTATATTATTATAGGTTTTCTTTCCTATCTTAAATATCTTTAGAGAGAAACTGTTTTCTCCAGTGATAACAAGGAAAACTAATAACTAATATTTACTGAGTATTACTGGGCATATCAAGTATGTGTCATTAAACTCTATAATAGATAAGGAAAAGAAGGCATAGGGAAGTTTAGTAACTTGCAGAATTTTCAACTACCAGCTCAGAATGACACATGGATTGATGCCTTTCCACCTCAATTCACCCAGTCCCAGATCTATTTCTCCTAGACCAGACAAAATATATATGGGTTTTCTAATTTATATACTGTGATCTTATTTGAAATGATAAATACTAATGCTCAACTCAATCTTATCAAATATTTCCAGTTGACTGATCTCAATTTTTTGACTGTACCCTTTTTCTCTTTAAAAATACATCCATGATGGTTTTTCACCTCAATTCGCCCATAGGTTATAATAATATAATCTATAATAATTAAACTGGAACTTAATTATTACTGCCTGGAAATAGGAACATTAGAGGCATAAACAAGAGCTCTAACATTTAAGCCAGCTCAACAGGTTCTTTATAAGCCTTCCATCTACGTCTCCACATTGTAATTTAAATCCCCCAAAACAAAGAACAAGTCATTATTTCCAAGAACTAAACCATGCTTTCTTAATGCAGAAATTCAGCCACAAGGAGATATGTTTTATTTGGACTTCATAACGTGAGCTCACAACACTTTGTTAATTGAGTTACATGAACACCAACAGTCATCTGGAGGGGAGGAACAACTACTCCCTTTAGAAAAAGATCTGTGGACGCTCCCCACAAACCCTAGTCTGCCATAGCCCCCTGCCCTCAGACATTGCTTTTTGACACTGAGACTGACAGGGTCTCTTATATGCAGCCAATTTCACTCATCTGTTCACCTAATCCCTACGGGCAATTGATAAATGACCCCTGATGAATACTGTTTTAAAGTATCCTTTAACTTCCCCTTCATACTGATTATTTATTATTTTCATTAACTTTCTTTGTTGGTGCTATATTTTCTATATTCTTGTGATTTTCTTTTCTTGTGAAGTTCCTCTTAACTTGTGGGATCCAGAACCAAAACCAATACTCAATTGACTAAAGTATAAAAGAAAGGCTAACTCATGGACAGGCTGTAGTCCAAAGTTCCACCTCACAGTATTATACTTAGCTTTTTGTTCCCTCCCGCCAAGTGGAAGACGGTGAGGGATGATACTGAAAATCTATACATACATGTATTAGGTGGAGACAAATTTTTCTTACATGTGCTATGTACCCTTTGAACAATTTCCAGGAGTAAGTTCCTTTCCTTGCTATAAAAAAAACCTCCTCACTTTTCAGGACTTTTAGACCATGGACTCAATTTACCTATCTATATCACAAAAGCTTCTTAACTCCTAAAGCATCTCCACAGACTTCCTTACTCTAATCTCTATTTTCCTGTCCAGATGTATTATAGTCACTATGTGCTAATGTTTAAGGTACTATGGAAAGTAAAAAATGAAAGTGACACAGTTATTACCCTCAAGAAATTTATATTCTAACAGGAAAAATAAGTGGCATCAGAAATGAATGGGGAAAGAGAGGGGGAATGAAGGGTCAGGGATATTCCACAATACCCAGTCATACAATCACAGAAAAAGTTTCATGGAGCTAGTAAACTTTTAAAACTGAGCCTTGAGGGATGGCTGCGATGTGTGACAAGCAGTGACAGAGCAAGTTACATGCTCAGCATACTCAGAGTGCAGTAAGAAGACTAGTTTGATTAAGAAGACTAAATAGTAGCTAAAAGTGGGCAAAGTTGAAACACACCACAAAGGACCTTCAATAGCAATACAGAGTTTTCAGTAACTCAACAGGGGGTTATTAAAGATTTCCAGACAGTGCTTTGACTTAGAACTGTTTTAAGGAGACCACTCTGACCAGTGCCAAGGTGGGAGGAAATGGCTGAAGCGGTGCCAGCAGGTAATTCCAACAGTCTATGTGGACAGTAACAAGGGCCTGACCTTGATTAGTGACGGGGAAAGGAGGGAATGGCCAGGGAAAATAAGTCAATAATTAGGGGCAGAAGGGAGAAAATGTACATAACTAAAGTTCCAAGCCCTGGCAATTGAGAGAATGGTGTGCTCCTCTGTAAAAAACCTGCAAGTCAGTAAGTGCAAGATGGTATAAAAGAGCTCAACTTGGGGCATGCTGCGTATGAAATGTCTACAGGAAACTCAAGTGCTCCGCACCTGGTGGTTGTAGAAACTCCAGTCTGCAGGTCACTGTGAAGCCAAATCAAAGATGGAGACTTACAAGTTAGACTCAAATGAAAGCTGAAGCCACAGGAATGGATGCAATCACCCAGAGAAAATTCTCTAAAATGTAGAGAATTCAAGGCAAACTTTTGAGGCACCTCTATATTCAAAGGGCTTTCCTCATAGCTCAGTTGGTAAAAAATCCGCCAGCAATGCAGGAGACCTGGCTTCGATCCCTGAGTTGGGAAGATCCCCTGGAGAAGGGAAAGGCTACCCACTCCAGTATTCTGGCCTGGACAATTCCATGGACTGTATAGTCCATGGGGTCACAAAGAGTCGGACACAACTGAGTGACTTTCACTCACTCACTCACTCGATTCAAAAAAAAGGGCTTGAATTCCAATTATTGCTTTATTTCTCTTCTAACCAGCCTGGGCCCCATAGTCAGTTGTTTAACAATGCTCTCAAATATTCTACTCTCTTTGCTATGTCATCTTTCTTACCTCTAGTCCTAAATTAGCCCCAGCTCTTTCATCTTTGATGCAATGCCTAACTACACAGCATGGCTAAAGAACATTATGGAACCATGCTCAAGAAATTGTTAGTAAACAAAATGGACCCTCATCACTGCTGTAAGTCTTTTATTCATCCTCTATTGTTTTCTTATATTCCTTATAGTTGTTTTTAACCTGTTCTGTTATCTAGTCCTTAACCCCAGCATTTCTCACTCCAGGAAATAATTACTGAAAAGAAACAGGCTTCTCCAATGAGTTTTTCTCTGCACCTCAAAATCTTCTTGTCTTCACCCTTTTTCTCACTCTTCGCTTTTGCAGAAAGAAATGTCCTGCCTCCCTACCAGTGCTTAAACTCCACATAATGTGATCACACTGTCTCCTTCTGAGGATCTTAAACATCCATACACCATTCTTCTGTGTCTCCCCGACATTAGCTCCTTACACTTAGTCTACAAATAAGTTTTGTGCCCTTACTCTAATAACAATCATCCTTCTACTATTCATTCAGGCTAAATTTGCAAAAGAATCATTTATACTTAATGACCTCCACTTCTTCACCACTCACTAATTCCTTAACAATCTATCCTCTACACAATGACTACATTAAAACTGCTTGGCAAGGGCACAAATAACTGCCTCAAACCAAGAACCTGCAGCATCTCGGGGTTTGTTACTCCCTTCTTCTTCCTTCTATAAAGTGCTCCCTCACCATTTAAGACATGGCGTTCCTCCCATTTTCCTTCCACTTCTCTGATTACATATCAAATACTCCTACCACCTGTACTTCCTCAAGGTTCTGTCTCATCCTGCCTTTGCCTCTGTAGTCTCTCCTAGGACAACCATCCACTGTGATGGCTTTAAGTACCACTTGTCTAATCCTTGCCCTGACCACCAAACCCAAATTTTCAACAGCCTACTCATTTGGGCATCTAGATGGTATCTCAAACTCAAGGTCTAAAATGTTTTCTTTTCACTCTCATTCTTACTGGCACATGCTCTCCTCAGTTACCCAGGCTCATCCTTACTACCTTGTTCTCCCTCAACTACTTTTCAAAAATTCAAACCTTAGAAAAAAAGTACAATGAATACCAACATAGTGCTAAACTTAAAATCAATGATGAACATTTTGCCACATTTTATGTTTGTATCTATTATTCCTTTTCTTTTTCTTCTTGTTGAATCATTTTTGCAAGTTGAAGACATCACAACATTTTATCCCTGAACACTTTAGGATATATCTCCCAAGATCAAGGACAATCACCCATATAACCACAACACCATTATTACTCTTAAGAAATTTATTACTATACTAGTATCTGACATACAGTCTATATATTTCACAAATCATCCTAATTATGTTCTTTATAAGCTGTTTGCTCTAATCCAGAATCCAATCAGAATCCAGATTTTGCATACAGCTGTCTGGCCCCGGAGTAACTTTTACTTTCCTGCAACTGCTAATCAAATCTCACTGAGTCTCCTCTCGAAATATAACTCAAATCTATTCCTTTTCACCATCTCATCTTCTCTCTCTCTCACTTGGATTACTTCAGCAGAAAGTTCCAACTTACAGACTGCTTCCAATTAATCTTAAGATTCAACTATATTATCCAAGAGTCAAAATTGGCCCTCTGGCCAAAAACCTTCAATGACATTCCATAACTTAGCAAATACAAACTCAGCTCCTCAGTCCTCAGCCTGGTATTCAAGAGCCTCCATAACTGACTGCACAACTACATTTCCAGTTTATTGTTCTACTATTCATCCTGACATATACTCTTTATCTTAGTCCACACTGTCACCTACCTAGAATTCCATTCCTCACACAATTTCTACTTATTGTAATAATAAGCACTCTAAAGGAAACATCACTTCTTCTGCCATCATGTGACCCTTTCCCCTCCTTCTCCTCTATCTCCCCGTAACACTTTAAATTTTCCTAAAAGCACACAACTCAATCTGCCTTGTATTTTTAACGACTTAGGTATGTGTTTTATTTCTAATACTAGACTACAAGCTCTTCAAAGGCAGGGATGAGAGCTGGGATCCTGAAGAAACCAATATAGAGTCCTGCAGATTGGACACTTGATAAGTGGTGATAATAGTGTATCAAGAGGTAGAATCTCTACCAAATTAAAATATATTAATAATGATGTCCAGGCCTCCAGCCTCTCTTGTTCAACCACAATCCCTGATCACTCACTCCGAGCATACTGTGGCCTTTTGTGGCTCACAGCCGAGCATTAAGTCTGAATCATCACCTTCTAGTTCATTTATTATACACTTTATTGTTTTTTGTCTCAAGGGAAACATGTTAAGCTTGAAATATGAAAGGGTTCTATATATTTGATATAATCACTTTTGTATTTTCTGTGGTGCCACCAAATGCTAATTCTATTTTCACCTCTTTTTTTTTTAAATTACTTTTCCAACAGAAACCACTGCCAAAAACAAAGGCAAAAAATGTAGCTTTCACGAAAATAACAAACTATAAAAAACACAAAGAAATAATTTCTACGACCTGCTATTTACACTTACCTGTCCCCAGGCATACATATTATTATGAGTCTGTGAGGGGTTAACTTTTGAAAGCAGGAAACGAGCCTTAAAAGCAAAGAAGAAATAATATCCATCAAATATAAGATTTGGTCAATATAGGCTAAACAAATACATTATGCCATATAAAATCAATTCTATGTAATATATTTCCATAAAATTAATTTTATTAAAATGAAACTTTAAAAAAATGAGATAAATCTTGAAATATGTAGGCCACTATATGTTACAAATAAGTGTAACCTCTCCAAATCAAACATACATAATAACATTTACAGTAACAAATACAAATTGTAGAATTCAAAACTCAGCATATAGAGAGTATGTGTGCAACAATTATGACAAAGTTAGTGTGACATTTGCCAAACACCTGGTCTGAAACATCAACAAAGGTGCAAAGTCTCCAAAGGTTCAAAGTCTCTACATGTTCTTTCACTTTAAACAATGACTCTCAAACTTTTTCAAACTGTAGGCTATTCCATGAGAGCACTTGCCCAACACATTGCCCATCTACCCACTATGTCTTATCATCATGAAATAATAACTAAAATTAAAAAGGAATATAGCACTACATGTGGTGAGACATCAATGAGAGAATAATTCATAAATTATTATTTCACATTAAAAGAACAAGACAGTCCTATCATTTGAAATTTAGTACCCATACAAAATCTTTTTCTACTTCTAAAGAACACATGGATTCAAATCCTAATTTCTCCATTTACAGTTTTCCTTGGCCACAAGTAACCTAAGTCTCAGTTTTATTATCCGTAAAATGGAAACAATAATAGGACTGCTAGAGAATCAAATGAGAGAAGTTATGTAAAGTGTTATCAACTTTGCAAATTCTCAATAGGGTATAGTAGCTTCTAATATAAATATAGTAAAACCCTAATAATAATTGCTATCATTTCTGAATAATAGTTACTAATATCTACTACCTACTTTGTAATACTGTGCTAGGCACTAGGGATATATCAATAAACAAAGCAAGGTCTGTACTTTCTAGGAACAAGTGAAAAAAACTTACAATGACCTATAATTAATTTATATACCTCTAATAAGAATTAAAAGGCAGCAGTAAAAGTGATTCAAGAGTTGGGCTTTCCTAGTGGCTCAGTGGTAAAGAATCTACCTGCCAGTGCAGGAGACACGGGTTCAATCCCCAGTTTGGGAAGACCCCACATGCCACGGAGCAACTAAGCCTGTGTGCTACAACTACGGAGGCTGTGCTCTAAGACCTGGGAGCTACAACTACTAAACCCATGTGCCCCAACTACTACAGCCTGCACACCCTAGAGCCCATGCTCCACAACAGGAGAAGCCCCTCAATGAGAGGCCTGTGCACCAGAACGACAGAGCAGGACCTGCTCACGACAGCTAGAGAAAAGCCTATGTAGCAACAAAGACCCAGTGTGGCCAAAAATAAAAATAAATTTTTTTAAAAACATAAAAAAAAAATGAGTGTATGGTATGGGGTCCTAATTGAGTCTTCTGTAAGGCCAAAAAGGGCTATATGAATATGTACCTTATTTAACCCTCATAACTCTAAAAATTACACACCTTTTTATAATACCATAATGCTTTCCTATTACACGACATTTTCTTAGAAAAGTGAAATGACAGAATGAGGAAAACAAAAATTATGTTACCACAAACTTCATATTCATAGACTTTGTCAGTAAACAAAGAGATCTGAGAAAAGTACACTAAATCACTTCCTAAGTTGTTCATATCTACTTGCTCAACTAAAGCTGGCATATCACCAAAACACCACCCTGGCTCTTTACTAGAGCTGAGCTGGAGGAAGAAGATGGGAGAAACCACCACCTGTAGTCAGCTAGTCAATGATCTTACTGCTCTGCTCTCAAACTAAGGCAAAAAGAAAGCACACCTTCCTCTGGAAACCATCTGCCCATCTCTTTCCTTTTCATTTGCCTGGTGAAGCAGTCTATTCAAACTAACGTCAGAAGGCAAATAGGAACAACTCATTGCAAAATCAGCAACACACATGCAAACAAATGAAGAGTATTACCTGACTGCCCCCATGTTCAGTGTCAATATATCTCGGCATTGGAAACCTGGAGTGAAGGATTTCCTGGGCATCATCCACTGGGGCTTGCAGAAGGTGGCGGAAATTTTCATATTCTGGCATGTCCTGGTATCCTGACTTGCGCCACTGAGCTATGGTCTAATTTTAAAACAATTAAAGGAATTATTACTTTTTTTCTTGCCTAACCAAAATTTTTTTTTCAAATGAAACAATCATCAGAAAGTAAGAAAATCATAGATTATCCCATTTATTTTTAAGTTACAATACTAATTTCAGTATTCTTGAGTAAACAGATCAAAATTAGGATATTTCTTCTTTAAAAGTAAAAAGAAATAATAATAAAGAAAAATGTTAAAACACTACATTTGTCATATTAAAGTTAGCTAAAAGGTATCGCTGGGCTTCCCAGGTGGCTCAGAAAGAATCCACAAATCAATGCAGGAGACAAGGGTTCAATCCCTGGGTCCGGAAGATCCCATGAAGAAGGAAACAGCAACTCACTCTAGAATTGTTGCCTGGAGAATTCCAAGGACAGAGGAGCCTGGTGGGCTATAGGCCATGGGGTCGCAAAGAGTCGGACATGACTAAGTGACTGAACAACAACAAAAAGGTATCTACCTAAGCTTATGATAAGTACAGGGGATTTCTGGTAGAGAAGATTTCCTAGAGACTTCAAATTAATTACCTCTTATTATGAATCTTTACAAATGGAGTTACATTCTCACAAGATATATAAAAGTAAAAACTTTAATAATAATAGCAATAATATTATAAAGATAATATACCTATAAAAGAGCATCTGAATCAATATTTTTAAGGCAAAAATAATGATCTTATTAGTCAACTTTTATTAAGGTAAATGACTCCAAAACACCATTTAATTAAATCATCCAAAGATTTAACCTGGCTTGATTTCTAAGTTACTTGAGTCAATCAATGCATATCTTTATATCTCTATATTTAACAGAGGAAGAGTCATCTGAATTTATGATTTCTCATTTATGCACGTTAATGAGCTATTTGAAGAAATAAAACCACCTAAAGACAAAAGAAATAATAAAAAACCTAGCTCTGTCACAGAGCTAGTATCAGAGGCATTATTTTTAAAAGTTAAATAGCTCTAGTAACTGGTATCAATTAAAAATAATCATCAATAGGTCTTTAAAAGTCCCATATATTTAAAGTGATATTTTGAATAAGATCTTCCCTGAGTGCATGCGTGCCTAGTCACTTCAGTGGCATCTGACTCTTAGCAACCTTATAGACTGCAGACCGCCAGGCTCCTCTGTCCATGGGATTCTCCAGGCAAGAATACTGGAGTGGATTGCTTTGCCTTCCCCCAGGGCATCTTCCTAACCCAGGGATCAAACCCTGGATTATGTCTCTTATGTCTCCTGCACTGGCAGGTGGGTTCTTGACCACTAGCGCCACCTGGGAAGCCCGTTCCCTATTACAGTGCAAATCTAAAATCATTTCCAGTTATAACACTGGAAAAATATATCTGCACAAGTTACCTAAATACTAGACTACAAGCTTGAGTATAAGTTTATGAAAAAGAAGATCTGTATCTCTCAAAGCACCTAGATTTCAGTGCTTTCTTACACAGAGGAAGCACTTAAATACTGCCTGAATGAATAAATACAGGAATGAATAGAGTTATGCTAAATAACCTAGATTAAACTCAATTGCTACTCAAATAGTCTGCTCTTTTCAACCATTTACCAATCCAATTAAGTTATAAATTTTAATTACCTTGTGCTTTAAATGAATCTTTAAGATCAACTGAAATACTTCTTTTTACTTTAAATACTTCCTGTGGAATATCTGGGGGGTGGAGAGGGGGTCTGTGTCAGGTTTTAGGTGCACCATGCAGGCTCTAGCTCCCTGATCAGGGAGAAAACCTAGGCCCCCTGCACTGGGAGCACGGAGTCTTAACCACTGGACTACCAGGGAAGTCCCAGAACACTTTTTATTTTATTTTTGTTTGTTTGTTTTTTTTCCCCCAGAACACTTTTTAAATGGTCACATGAAATAAGAAAAAGGAAAGCCCACCTACTGACTCTTCCCTTCTCAGTGTCTTCAGGTAAAACCCAACTTTCACAGCTATGCTTTGTATAAAATTCATTTCTCCAATTATGTGCAAACAGACAAAATAACCACAGACAGGTCAACTGCAAATTAAGTCTAAAAATTCACAAAAGGAAGAATCACATTTTACACGTAACTTAATAAAAATGGAAATAAAGCTTACTTACCATAGAGACACTAGTCATATAGTAAAGGGAGGGAAGCCTCTAACAATACGAATTAAAAGACTTTACTGAAACTATGCGCACAGCTTTAAACACAAGGGAATCTTACCTCACCATGATAAATCAAAATCTGGAAAAACGTATCCATGAGGAGAATACGATCTGCAAGAATGCTGCTGCTATCAAGAAGAACCGGCTGATGTGAGGATAATAATGAAAGAGGAAGAAGAAAAAATTAATTACTTAAAAATAAAAATTCATCTTTTGAGGATCTTTTAAATTTTTAAAATGCATTATCTTACTACTTAAAACCTCTTGCTATTATGAATTCTTAAAGGATGTTTCAATTTAATTTTCTGAGGAATCACTAAACTGAAATAACAATTGAAACTAGAGTCTAGTCATAGGAAATCAGAGATGACTCCTAAGTCTGATGCTGTGAGGCACCACTGAGTGAGAGGGGAAAGGCTTGGGACAGACAACATTTGGAGATGGAAACACAGTTCTGAATATGAAATAGAAGGAAACATCCTGAACTGACATAAACTGGGGTATCACATGCATGAAGATGGCAATTAGAGCTATGATTAGACTGCACCGCTTCAAGGGAATCTAGAGAAGCCAGAGATGGGAGCCCAGAGCACACCAACATTTAGCGTTCAGACAGCAAGAAGCCAGCAGGGGGAGTCTGAGAAGGAACAGGCAATGAGGAGGAGGAAAACCAGTAGGTGCTGTAGGCCTTGGAGAAGCCTAGAGCGAAAGATTTTCAAGCAGAGTCCTCACTGGGTAAACGCTGTTGTGAGTTCCAGCAAGATGAGGGCTTGGTGGCCTTGATAAGAATTGTTTCAGAATAATCTCAGGGACAAGAGTCTGACTATCTAGGTTGAGAAGAGAATGTAACATGGGAACATATACACAACAAATAACTCTCTGCGTTTAGCTGTGACTGGGGCCAGAGCAATGAGGCAGCAATTAGAGACAAAGTGAAGTCCAGGGGCTTTTGTTTAACAGGAGTGACACTAAGGTTTCTATGTTAATGAGAATGATCATGATGAGAGAAGTGACAATGCAGAAGAGAAAGGATAAATTCAAATGCAAAGCCTTAAGAAATGAATGGGATTCACGGTTTAAATGGAGAGTTTGAAATATGACAGGAGCAGGCAGTGGGATTCCATTTTTCTTCTAAACATTTTTTGACATTTTCCAGATGTTTACAACTTACATGTATTACTAAGACAGTATGGTACTGGCACAAAGACAGAAATATAGATCAATGAAGCAGAATTGAAAGCCCAGAGATAAATCCACGAACCTATGGACACCTTATCTTCAACAAAGGAGGCAAGGATATACAATGGAAAAAAGACAACCTCTTTAACAAGTGGTGCTGGGAAAACTGGTCAACCACCTGTAAAAGAATGAAACTAGAATGCCTTCTAACACCATACACAAAAATAAACTCAAAATGGATTAAAGATCTAAATGTAAGACCAGAAACTATAAAACTTCTAGAGGAGAACATAGGCAAAACACTTTCCGACATAAATCACAGCAGGATCCTCTATGACCCACCTCCCAGAATATTGGAAATAAAAGCAAAAATAAACAAATGGGACCTAATGAAACTTAAAAGCTTTAGCACAACAAAGGAAACTATAAGCAAGGTGAAAAGACAGCCCTCAGATTGGGAGAAAATAATAGCACACGAAGCAACAAAGGATTAATCCCAAAAATATACAAGCAACTCCTGCAGCTCAATTCTAGAAAAATAAATGATCCAATCAAAAAATGGGCCAAAGAACTACACAGACATTTCTCCAAAGAAGACATACAGATGGCTAACAAACACATGAAAAGATGCTCAACATCACTCATTATCAGAGAAATGCAAATCAAAACCACAATGAGGTACCATTACACGCCAGTCAGGATGGCTGCTATCCAAAAGTCTACAAGCAATAAATGCTGGAGAGGGTGTGGAGAAGAGGGAACCCTCTTACACTGTTGGTGGGAATGCAAACTAGTACAGCCACTATGGAGAACAGTGTGGAGATTCCTTAAAAAACTGGAAATAGAACTGCCATATGACCCAGCAATCCCACTCCTGGGCATACACACCGAGGAAACTAGATCTGAAAGAGACACATGCACCCCAATGTTCATCGCAGCACTGTTTATAATAGCCAGGACATGGAAGCAACCTAGAAGTCCATCAGCAGACGAATGGATAAGGAAGCTATGGTACATATACACAATGGAATATTACTCAGCCATTAAAAAGAATTCATTTGAATCAGTTCTAATGAGATGGATGAAACTGGAGCCTATTTTACAGAGTGAAGTAAGCCAGAAAGATAAAGACCAATACAGTATACTAACGCATATATATGGAATTTTAAAAGATGGTAATGATAACCCAATATGCAAAACAGAAAAAGAGACACAGATGTATAGAACAGACTTGTGGACTCTGGGAGAAGGTGAGGGTGGGATGTTCTGAGAGAATAGCATTGAAACAAGTATACTATCAAGGGTGAAACAGACCATCAGCCCAGGTTGGATGCAAGAGACAAGTGCTCAGGGCTGGTGCACTGGGAAGACCCAGAAGGATGGGATGGGGAGGGAGGCGGGAGTGGGGATTGGGATGGGGAACACATGTAAATCCATGGCTGATTCATGTCAATGTATGGCAAAAACGACTACAATATTGTAAAGTAATTAGCCTCCAACTAATAAAAATAAATGAAAAAAAATAATTTTTAAAAAAAAGGTATTTCTAAAACTTACTTTCCTCATTCAAACAACTGTGAGACCAAATATATAGCTAGACCAATTAAAAATGTATTTTCTAAAAAAGTAAAAACTATGACAAATTACTTTAAAAAATAGCAACAAAATATAACTTTTTAACCACCATTTTTTTACAAAAGTGAATAAAGGCAGCATTAGAGATCATTAATCAATAGATATTATATTCTCTTTATACTGACCCTTCCTAAAGTTATTATTTTCAAATATAGTCATTACATACTTTTAAGGAAACAAACTGTTTTAATCATGAAACAGAAAAACTATCTATTTGAAAATAGGTTAAAATAATTGGGACAGTTTGCTAAGAAGGCAAAATGGATAGCTTTATCATTTTTCTGAGTATATATCTTTATAATCAACTGTATCTTACGTTCCAAAAGACTATAGGATAATGGGACTGTATTAAACAAGAAGCTTTGTTTAGACAGAATGCCCTAATTGTCAGACAGTAAACTCTGGAATACAGTTTTTAGAACCAACATCACCTGCAGACACTGGTAAAGACATAAGACTAGTCATGAGCCCTGTAGGATTTTTTTTTTTTTTTCGCCCGGTCTCAGTCCGTCCTCAGAACACGCTCCATCACCTAGGATTTTTATCAACCAAATGACTAGACAAAATGATCTTTTAAAAAGTCTGTTAAACAAATTGAAAGATAAAAACCATATGATTATCTCAATAGATGCAGAAAAAGCCTTTGACAAAATTCAACATACATTTATGATTAAAACTCTCCAGAAAGCAGGAATAGAAGGAACATACCTCAACATAATAAAAGCTATATATGACAAACCCACAGCAAGCATCACCCTCAATGGTGAAAAATTGAAAGCATTTCCCCTAAAATCAGGAACAAGACAAGGGTGCCCACTCTCACCACTACTATTCAACATAGTTTTGGAAGTGCTGGCCACAGCAATCAGGGCAGAAAAAGAAGTAAAAGGAATCCAGATAGGAAAAGAAGAAGTGAAACTCTCTCTGTTTGCAGATGACATGATCCTCTACATAGAAAATCCTAAAGACTCTACCAGAAAATTACTAGAGCTAATCAACAAATACAGTAAAGTTGCAGGATATAAAATTAACACACAGAAATCTCTTGCATTCCTATACACTAACAATGAGAAAACAGAAAGAGAAATTAAGGAAACAATACCATTCACCATTGCGACAAAAAGAATAAAATACTTAGGAGTATATCTACCTAAAGAAACAAAAGACCTATACATAGAAAACTATAAAACACTGATGAAAGAAATCAAAGAGGACACAAACAGATGGAGAAATATACCCTGTTCATGGATTGGAAGAATCAATATTGTCAAAATGGCTATACTACCCAAAGCAATCTATAGATTCAATGCAATCCCTATCAAACTACCAACGGTATTTTTCACAGAACTAGAACAAATAATTTCACAATTTGTATGGAAATACAAAAAACCTCGAATAGCCAAAGTAATCCTGAGAAAGAAGAATGGAACTGGAGGAATCAATCTGCCTGACTTCAGACTATACTACAAAGCCACAGTCATCAAGACAGTATGGTACTGGCACAAAGACAGAAATATAGATCAATGGAACAGAATAGAAAGCCCAGAGATAAATCCACGAACCTATGGTCACCTTATCTTCGACAAAGGAGGCAAGGATATACAATGGAAAAAAGACAACCTCAAGAATGAAACTAGAACAGTTTCTAACACCATACACAAAAATAAACTCAAAATGGATTAAAGATCTAAATGTAAGACCAGAAACTATAAAACTCCTAGAGGAGAACATAGGCAAAACACTCTCCGACATAAATCACAGCAGGATCCTCTATGACCCACATCCCAGAATTTTAGAAATAAAAGCAAAAATAAACAAATGGGACCTAATGAAACTTAAAAGCTTTTGCACAACAAAGGAAACTATAAGCAAGGTGAAAAGACAACCTTCAGATTGGGAGAAAATAATAGCAAATGAAGCAACAGACAAAGGATTAATCTCAAAAATATACAAGCAACTCCTCCAGCTCAACTCCAGAAAAATAAATGACCCAATCAAAAAATGGGCCAAAGAACTACACAGACATTTCTCCAAGGAAGACATCCAGATGGCTAACAAACACATGAAAAGATGCTCAACATCACTCATTATCAGAGAAATGCAAATCAAAACCACAATGAGGTACCATTATACGCCAGTCAGGATGGCTGCTATCCAAAAGTCTACAAGCAATAAATGCTGGAGAGGGTGTGGAGAAAAGGGAACCCTCTTACACTGTTGGTGGGAATGCAAATTAGTACAGCCAATATGGAAAACAGTGTGGAGATTTCTTAAAAAGCTGGAAATAGAACTTCCATATGACCCAGCAATCCCACTTCTGGGCATACACACCGAGAAAACCAGATCTGAAAGAGACACATGCACCCCAATGTTCATCGCAGCACTGTTTATCATAGCCAGGACATGGAAGCAACCTAGATGCCCATCAGCAGACGAATGGATAAGAAAGTTGTGGTACATATACACCATGGAATATTACTCAGCCATTAAAAAGAATTCATTTGAATCAGTTCTAATGAGATGGATGAAACTGGAGCCCATTATACAGAGCGAAGTAAGCCAGAAAGATAAAGAGCATTACAGTATACTAACACATATATATGGAATTTAGAAAGATGGTAACGATAACCCTATATGCAGAACAGAAAAAGAGACACAGATGTATAGAACAGACTTGTGGACTCTGGGAGAAGGCAAGGGTGGGTTGTTTCAAGAGAACAGCATCGAAACATGTATATTATCTAGGGTGAAACAGATCACCAGCCCAGGTTGGGTGCATGAGACAAGTGCTCGGGCCTGGTGCACTGGGAAGACCCAGAGGGATCGGGTGGAGAGGGAGGTGGGAGGGGGGACCGGGATGGGGAACACATGTAAATCCATGGCTAATTCATTTCAATGTATGACAAAACCCACTGCAATGATGTAAAGTAATTAGCCTCCAACTAATAAAAATAAATGGAAAAATAAATAAATTAATTAAATTTAATTTAAAAAATAAATAAATAAAATAAAAAGTCTGTTAAAAAAATTTTTAAATAAATAAAAAGTCCCTCTTAGCTGTTTATTTTTTAATAATTTCCTAATATAGCCTAGCATTTTATCTAGCATATAGTAAACACTCATAAATATTAAGAGTGTATATGAATAAGAAGATATTCATGCTTGAATTAAATTCTCACATTTAATAACTATATTTCAAGAAAGACCTAGTTGTTTTACTTTATAGCACACAGCACAATAACAAAACCAATTTCTTTTTCTACCCCTCTTACCTCTGGTGGTCCACTAAAAGAATAAGCATATAGAATAGGCTGAATCATGATGAGAGACTGGGTCAAGTCTTGACGCATAAAGTGGTGACGATAATATGAACTCTCATCAGGACTATTGTTAAAAACTTGCAAGAAAGGAGATCTTCTTAAATGAAACATAAACTACAAGATAAAACATGCACGATAGCTTTTACTGATTTTAATAAAGCAACAGAAGTTTATTACTATGAACACATTTGATTACAACCATTAATACAAAAAACAACTTACAATAAGAACATTCTAAATTGTATTTCTCAGAATTTTACCCATGATATTTATCGGTTACTTAAAAATGCAACTCAACAACAACTAAAAAGTAAAAGAGATGACTCAAAAGAAAAACAAGACTAGGGACAAAAACCCCTTGTTTGGATCTAAGTCAAATATTTAGACTAAGGGCTTCCCTGGTGCCTCAGTGGTAAAGAATCCGCCTGCCAATGCAGGAGACACAGTTTCAATCTCTGGGATGGAAGACCCCCTGGAGAAGGAAATGGCAATCCACTCCAGTATTCTTGCCTGGAGAATTCCAAGGACAGAGCAATCCGGGGAGCTACAATCCATAGGGTCACAAAAGAGTTGGACACAACTTAGTGACTAAACAACAATAACTTAAGACTAATGCCCTCAATTCCCTTACTATTTTCTGATATGAAGTGAGGTCCGAGAATTCTCAAAACACAAAAGGGTTGCCTCCCTTAAGACAAGTGAGTGAGTGAGTGACAGTCACTTAGTTGTACCTGACTCTTTTCGACCCCATGGACTATATATAGCCTGCCAGGCTCCTCTATCCATGGAATTCTCCAGGCAAGAATACTGGAGTGGGTAGCCACTCCCTTCTCCATTAAGACAAGTAGACTCTGCCTTATTCTAATTCTCCAAAATCTCAACCAGAGACTTGGGGAAGTCTCCCCCTATAAACATGGAGTTTCTAGGTTACAGATAAATAAAGTATTTTCAAAAAATAAGAGTATCTCTGAAAAGAAGGTCGAAGATTTAAACAAAGTTTTTGTGAGGAGCAAAAATTTGAATTTCCGTATCTCAATATTAATCATCCTTCCAGGTTAAGGTAAAATAAAATACCACTTCTTCCATAAAGATATACCAAATAATCCATTCGGAAGGATTCTTTAAAGTTTCCTTTAAATACTGTAGTGTCTCTCTTGTAGTGTTGTATCTCACTTTCTTTTCTGCATTGTTTACATATATTTCAGATCTCATCCTTCAAAATGAAAGCTCCTTGAAAACAGAATCCATGTCAACCATCTTTATTCTCCTAAATCACTTGCACTTCGTATATACTCAGCTGAATAAATATTATCTCTATTACTCATCATATAAACCTATACTTTTGAGAGTATCTACCAAAACAACAGACAGATAGACTCCACTATCCAAGTAGAAAGGTTCTGTAAGATAAAGGTTCTTTTCTATTTATCTGGGATGTCTCCATAAAGTTGTCCTCAGGCAATGATACCATAAGACTAGCAGATTGTTAAAATTATTTCCTTTCGGCAGTACTGCAATTAGTTAGATCCCTTTTATCAGATGGAAAGCTAATCTGCTTCATACCAAATTGTGCTCCCCGATAAGGTTCTGGTGTAAATTTCTACTCACCACAAATAAATGTTATATGCAAGGTTATCATAAAAATACTACTTACTTTTCACTAACTATTCAACCATAATACTATTTTCTTAGCTATCTCAAAACTTAAAACCTAACCAAAAGAATAATCCTGTAAGATGAGTAATAAAGGCAACAGGAAAAGTGAGACCCAACGCTACTGTCAACACTAAGAACACAGATCTCCTGTCTACTCACCTGTGGATAAAGAGAGAAAGTTTCTGAAAATCTGAAGGAACTTGGATCATCTTTGTGATACTCGCCAAACTTCTGACACTAAATAAAATAAAACTTGTTAGTAATACATTCTCTGGCACAGAGTTAAACTTCTGCCTATGTGTTTTCTATTTTTAAAAAGTTATTCTCTTTAGGAGGCAGATACTTGACACAGGATAAAACTGGGATATTATTTATAGACTTACCAATATAATGATTATAAAAAAAAGACAGAAATTTGAATTTTGGAAGCAAACAATACATTTGCTTCAGTGCAGAACAACTCACCTTAAAAGTGTCTGAATTTTTTTTAAACTAAGTGTCTCTGATAGCAAATAAAGAGCTCTGGGTGATGGCCCAAAGAGCTCAATATGTGCCCCCTAAGACCCTACCTAAAAAAGACAATAGTCTACAGACAGAAAGATGTACTGTCAAGATACCACAGTGGCTCTAAAGGCAAGATGATGGTATAAAATTGGGTACACTCGAAAAAATACCAAAAAGAAAGAGCTACTGAGGAAAAGAAAATTAAGATAAACAGGTAAACCAGTAAAGAAAGAACACAAAAAAAAAAAAAAACACAAAGGCAGAAATTAAAAAACAATAAAGGAGACACATACTCTAGCAAAAAGGAAGTAAACTCTCCATGATAATATAACAAAAGGCATCAAAATAACTGAGATAATCCACAGGAGAAAGTGCTCAGCACAATGGCTGACACTAAGCACCAGTAAATGGTAGCTTCCTCTTTGTTCTTCAGCAAAGTCTCTGACCTGAAAAGTTTCTATAGTACTTAAGTAACTGGTCTACTTCCTGGCGACATCTATAGTACTTGCATATGATCAAGGGCAAAAATAACAAGCAAAAAGTAACAAAAGATTCACTGCTGAAAGTAGTACAGGGCTTTTGTAGCCTAGAATGTTCAACTAAATCATTTACGTAGCTATCTGTGCCATAAGAGCACATAAAAGGCATAATTGGTTTGATCACATTTTTGGCTTTCAGGAAAAATCATTTCAGAACCACAGCTATCCAAAGGATAAAAAAGCTGCAGTTGCAGCACTAATCCTCAGAAAATACATCTTGGTATCTGGGAATAAGAGTATTTCTGACATCAATGTGCCCCAGTGACATTTCACTGATGAAACTTATAGATTAGGATAATAATTTTCACTGTCCAATATGAAAAGCCACTAGCTATGATAAATTTAAATTAATTAAAATTAAATTAAAATCCAGCTTCTCAGTTGCACTAGCCATATTTCAAGTACTCAAGAGCCACATGTCGGTAGTAGTTCCATAATGGACAGTGCCAATAACAGAACATTTCTGCCACTGTAGAAAGTTCTCCTGGAAGGACTGGTCTAAACTATAAAATATACTTGAGATCCAGAACATCAAACACATTGAAAAGATTCTTCAGAAAAGCCAGTATGTCACACATCATTTGATTTTATTAGAAGATCAGTAACTTTTTCATGTTTTTCGTTTTTTTATTGGTCACTGCATTCCTTCTTTTGCTAATTCCTTGTCCATGACCTTTGCTTATCTTTTACCCAAATACTACTGATTTGCAATAGCTCTTACATATGAAAATTTTCACATTTTGCCATACATATAATAATGTTGGTAATAAATTGTGCTACTGGTATTTTTATCACACAGACTTTTGTCTCATTTGAATGTAACAAATCTTTTAATATTTTTATTTAATGGCTCCTGATTATATGTTTCATATTTAAAGTCCTTTTTCATCCAGAAGTTAAATACATATTAACTTATTTTTTATAAATATTGCCTATGCCACAGATGACAATATAAACTTTGTGTAATCTACACATACATAAATCTCTAATCTTTGGGTTATTTTTAAAATTTTATTGAACACTCAAATGCCCTAGCATTACTTACTGGAAGTGTGAGGAGTAGTTCTTATTTACAACCCAAACAGAACACGATAACAAATGAGAAAAAAAAAAAAAACTGAAGCAAAAAGGAGGTATATCAAAGATCCACTGTTTGAGTTATTTAGTAGTAGTAAGATTGGGCAAATAAATCGACAGTAACACAATTTTCTTGGAGAAAATAACAACACTTTTAAAAAACTTTAGTCTTTAATTCAGCAATTAGTTATGCACAAAGCCAGCCACATAAATGGGCCCAAAGGGTCAAAGCCTAACCTCTATAAGAATATGGTAATAACGGAAGCAGTCCTCCTTAAAACAGCACAACTAAAGTGCCTGGTCCCATTACTATACCAGAAAAAGTCCAGCTTCATACTGAAGGCTACTTATCAGTGGGTTTTACACCAGTTGATAACCCAAGTTGTACTATTCAGTTTTATGTCATATGTCATAACCTACAAATGCAGTGATATCCAGCAAAACAGAAAAAGTACTTTACATACAAATCATAGCCATATAATAAATAAATGTGCTGATTACTTCAAACAGTTTTTAGATTTTCAAAGCAGTAAAGCATTTGTTAAAATTACATAGTCACAATCAGTGAAAAAGCTCAGGAAACAAGATACTTCAGAGCAAAATTTTTTATCTAGAAAAGTAAAAGTCACACAGTGAATAAGAACCTAATAATGACCACACGTAAAATTACAGTAAGTAAAATGCTAGGATAAGATGAAGTCTGAGAAATTAAAAAGGTTCCATCATAAAACAATATAAAAAGTGAATGCATTCATGACATGTTACATGATGTTGAAGAGGTCTGTATAATAGGCTGAAAAATAACAGCGTCCCTATTCAAGCGAACAAGTCAACAGATTTCACCAATGTCATGCCAAGTTGCTAAATAACAGTGAAATTCCAGAGGACTTTTCTGCTGCCCTAAATAAGCAAAGGACAAAACATATTTAAAGTTTTGATCTTCTTATATGGAAACCAAAGTCTACCTTGGAGAAACTATGCTGGCATTTGTACTGAGGTGTCCAATTAATGGTTGGCTCCAAGAGAGGTTTTATGACTCTTGTCAAAAAAAGACAGGCTGATGTTGTCATAACACTGCTTTCTTCACAAAGAGGTACCAGCGTAAAAATGCCCTCGAAAGTGAAAGAATGAAAGCACTGGATGATGCTACAAAAATGGTTAACTTTATTAAACAAATACTAGTTCCCTCAATAATGTTTCAAATATACATGAAAATTTAGACAAAGAACACAAAAACTTGCTGCTAAAAAAAGAAATTTGATAGCCTAGCAAAGAGAGTTGTCCATAGTTTCCAAACTCAAGGAAGAATTGAAGAAGTACTTTCAAGGGAATTATAGGCCAGAATTTGCTGAGTAAATAGAAAGCATTAAGAACAGAACTTAACTAGGCATTCTAGGTCATAGGGAAAGTAATGGGTTCCTGATACGTTAAAGCCCAAGAATAATTATCATTCTTAGTAACTTTACTAACATATACTTTGGTAGCCTAGATACAGATAATAAAGACTTGTCTAAGTTTTGTATGTTAATGTGTATAATTTTTACATCCTAATTAATTTCTCTTCAAACTTCCACTAAAATAAAAATAGAAAATTAAAACCACAACAGTGGAGGAAAAATGCAAAAATACAGTAAAAAGAAATACAGCAATTAAATTGGGAATTAATTTGATATCAGTCCCCCAAAATAATAATAGGTTATATAACTGTCACTCCTTCATTTTAAGGAAAAAAGGCATTTTCATTTACTGGAAGAGATCAATCAACTCTACTATTCATTACTATGCCTTTCTCAGCAACTTGATCAGTAGTCCCTCACACAGTCCTTCAGTTACACTTTCAAATACCTTTGAAAGAAATTATCAGAAAATATTGACCATAAATAAATGCATACCTATTTAGAATAGTATGTTTATTTCTTACCAGTCTGATGAGCTGTCTGTCTAGCCATCTAAGCACATCTGGACCTTCTTCAGTTTCGGCTCTATAAATTGCCAGCCGAGCCATAAGAATGGCAGCTGCCTCCTGGTCAAAAGATGCAGCAATGTTTTGGATCTGAGTTTGAGCATCTGCCCAGCTAAAAACGAGAAGAAAACACAGAATTTCTGCTAAATTATTATGTTCATGATACCTTAGTTGGCTATTACACAGAATTAAATTTAAAAGATACAGAAAATTACTTCAATATTTCAAAATTCCAGTATTACCTAGAAAAATTAGGTTAAAAAATCACTAATAGTAGTTTCAGTATAGTACTCACTGTTTTTCAGAAAAATACATGCAAACCTAATAAAATCCTCTAAAATAACTGCATGTGCCTAGGCGCTTCAGTCCTGTCCAACTCTTTGCAACGCCACAGACCACAGCCCACCAGGCTTCTCTGTCCATGGGATTCTACAGGAAAGAATACTAGAATGAGTTGCAACGCCCTCCTCCAGGAGATGTTCCTGATCCATGGATGAAATTCATGTCTCTTATGTCTCCTGCACTGGCAAGCAAGCTCTTGACCACTAATGTCACCACAGAAGCAGCAGATTTCCAAACACATTCCTTAAAACATTAAGATCTTTACACATAAAAATAACAGCATAACTATCTGTGTGTGTATGCACACAGATACATGGGTTGGTATCACAACAAACTGTGGAAAATTCAACAGTTAGAACTGGACATGGAACAACAGACTGCTTCCAAATCGGGAAAGGAGTACATCAAGGCTATATATTGGCACCATGCTTATTTAACTTATATGCAGAGTACATCATAAGAAATCCTGGACTGGATGAAGCACAAGCTGGAATCAAGATTGCTGGGAGAAATATCAATAACCTCAGATTCACAGATGACACCACCTTTATGGCAGAAAGTGAAGAACTAAAGAGCCTCTTGATGAAACTGAAAGAGGAGAGTGAAAAAGTTGGCTTAAAACTCAATATTCAGAAAACTAAGATCATGGCATTCAGTCCCATCACTTCATGGCAAATAGATGAAGAAACAGTGGAAACAGTGACAGACTTGATTTTTGCGGGCTTCAAAATCACTGCAGATGGTGACTACAGCCATGAAATTAAAAGGCACTTGCTCCTTGGAAGAAAAGTTATGACAAACCTAGACAGCATATCAAAAAGCAGAGACATTACTTTACCAACAAAGGTCCATCTAGTCAAAGCTATGGTTTTTCCAGTAGTCATGTATGGATGTGAGTTGGACTATAAAGAAAGCTGAGCACCAATGAATTGATGCTTTTGAACTGTGGTGTTGGAGAAGACTCTTGAGAGTCCGTTGGACTGCAAGGAGATCCAACCAGTCCATCCTAAAGGAAATCAGTCCTGAATATTCATTGAAAGGACTGATGCTGAAACTGAAACTCCAATACTTTGGCCATCTGATGTGAAGAAGTGATTCATTTGAAAAGACTGATGCTGGGAAAGATTAAAGGCAGGAGGAAAAGGGAACGACAGAGGATGTGATGGTTAGATGGCATCACTGACTCAATGGACATGAATTCGAGTAAACTCCAGGAGTTGGTGATGGACAGGGAGGCCTGGCGTGCTGCAGTCCATGGACTCACAAAGAGTAGGACATGACTGAGCGACTGAATTGAACTGAACTGACATAGGTTGGTATCTCAGATTTTAAAAATTCATTTCTTCAATCTTATAAAAACAGAAAAATGGAAACGCAAAAAATAAAGTTTTCTCCCAGACTAAATAATTACCATTTCCTAAACTGGAAAATGAATAAAATATCAGAATTTTTTCTCATTGGTCTTTAATTCAATTATTAGTAATAAAAATTATCTAATTAAAATTATTATGTATTCTTTTCTCTCCATATTGACACAATAAAACCAATCAAAAATAATAAGTAAAATTTTAGTCTAAGTGATTCATTTGATATTATATATAAAATAGCACAAATTATTAAACTCACCTGCACTATAAAGCTAATCCAGTCAAGCTGATAAAGGGGAGACCCATCAATAGCTTTTGTTTGTTTGTCTAACATTTCACAGGCAGAGTTTTTTAATACTTCAGCTGATCCTGTTCCTAAAGTACCTCACTTTAAGCAATTCTGGCAATACTTATAGCTTTGTGAAAAGCTGAACCACTTTTGACTCAGAGCTCTAAGAAGGGATCCCAAGAAAACTCAGGCAGCAACACTCAAATTCTTCTTTCTTCCTCTGCTTTCAATTTTTTTTCAAGTAGACAAATAATTGTTTAATATTTTCCAGGTGACTTATAGCCATAGATTATCTCAGTCTAATGAAATACCAAGAAGCAGAAAACAATGAGAATGAATAAAGGAATAAGAATTGGTGATTTAAAGGTTATTTTTAGTGCAATTTAAACACTTAGTGATCATACTAATAGTTTAATTTAATTACTTTTTAACTAAAAAAATTACATAGAACTAAAACCAAAGCTGTTGCTTGTTTGTTTGGCCATGCAGCAGGGCTTGCAGAATCTTAGTTCCCCAACCAGGGAGTGAACCAGGGCCCAGAGCAGTTGAAGTACCAATGGTTAGGACCACTAGACCACCACGGAATTCTCAAAAGCAAAATTGTTTTAAATGGGAATTTCCCCAACTTGTACGACCATGATATTCACTTGCTGAAACATTTTTCTCCTGAAAACATAACAGTTCAACAGTGAAAAATACATTAGCAAGCAAACACATACAAATTTACTACCTAAAGTTATTTAACCATAAATTTAAAATTTTATTCTTAAAGTTTAAAGGGTTTGTTCACATTGCAAAATCTGTCTTCTGTATTTTCAATACTCCTTCACTATGATTCTTACCACTAGTTTCAAACCAAACTTTCAAGATCAAAGCTCTTTTCTCTAGACAACACAGGATAACTTGACTGTATCTCAGGAACTTAAGTCCTTTACTTTCATACGGCTTATTCACTTAACAAATGTACTTGCCTCAGCCCCTAAAGTCGTATTTCTAATAAATAAAGGGAAAAAATAAGACTTGATTATTGAAAATGGCCAGGATAAGTTAATTTGAAGGAGCGGGTGCTTTGGTGAGACACAATGATATAAATGGCACCAAAACACACATGGTATCTCTCTACAAATAGCCTCAAAAATCCGGTGCAAAAAAAAATTGAAGATCTATAAATCCATGAAAAATTTCTCACAACAAAAGTTCCCTTTCTCTTGAAAGATTAACCTCTTTTTAAAACTTTTCATTTTAAGAATATTTCAAACATAAAAGCAATGAGTAGAATAATCTATATATTCATCACCTAGATTAAACAATTGTCAGCACTGTAACATTCTGCTTTGCCATTCTCTCTTCCTTCATACACACATACTTTTTCTTTTGCCAAACTTTGTGAGAGTAAATTAAAGATAGATATATCACCTTCTCCTTAAATACTTCAGTGTGTATCTCCTAAGAACAAAAAAGCTCCCTTATACACCTCCAGTTACAAAATTAATGAAGTTAAACACTGATATAACTCCAGTATTCTTGTCTGGAAAATCTCACGGACAGAGGAACTGGGTGGGCTATAGTCCACAGCATCGCAAAGAGTTGGACACAACTTAGTAACTGAACACCACCACCTCCACACAATCTGGAGATTGGGATTTGGGGAAATAGTTCTTGATGGAAACTTGGCATAAAATGGAAAGTGAAGTGACCTAGCAATATGGAATTTAGACTTTTGTATGAAATTAAAATTTGTGTATAGAATAATAGTTGCAAATATTCAAACAATAAAGTCCGTGGTTAAAGGAAAAAAAAAAACCTGATAAAATATTATTATCCTATATGTAGACCAAATTCAAATTTCCCCAATTGTCTCAACAATGTCCCTATAGCAAAAATTTTCCAGACAGGATTTTATCCAGGATCACATACTGGCTTTAGTTGTAATGTCTCTTTAGTCTCCTTTAATTTGGACAAGTTACTAACAGTTTCTTTGCCTTCTAAGACATTTTTGTTGAGTCTGAACCAGTGGCTTTGTAAACTATCCCTCCATTTGACATGCTCAGTTGTTTCCTTAAGCAAATACTTTGAATTCCAAATTAAGCTATACATGCATGTGGGGGTAGGATGTGTATATGTTGAGGGGGCATAAATAAATTGACCTATTTGCCAAGAATCAATACTTCAAAGTTTGTAGCATGAAATCTGAACAAATATAAAGGAAAGCTCAATTGGCATTTTTTGTTCAAAAGAATAATATATTCCCTTAACATTCATTCAAAGATTTTAAGTCAGAGCAAAGTTATAGCAGGACAATAAATCTAATCTCTCTACACAATGCCCTCTACTATTTAACAGGCCACCCAACACAACACTCTGTTGAAACATTAGGCCGTGTCCATCACTCACCAAAACAGTCTCATGGTTTTCAGAAATGAAGCTGGAATTTAAATACATTTCAATAAAAGAAGAGCTATGATGCCTTCCTTCAGTATGCATTTTCTAGACCATACCTAGACCAGGTTAAGTTTATACTGACCAACACTTCCTACCCAGACAATCAAGTCCAAGACAAACAGAAGTAGACCAAAAGCCTATTCACATCTAGACTCACCTCATCTAAGAATCCTTTCCAGACTAACCTCATTCCAAAATGTCATTCAAAATAGGAAGCCAGTTTTGGGAGCATGACACATAATTAAATCTCTAACAAATACAACTTACTTCCTAGCAATGGTGGTCACTCGTATACGTCTCTGCCCACTTGAATGCTGATACTGAGTCACAAACTGGATTGCACCACGCCCTCCTTGAGGAATTGGAGCATTATGCTGCATAAAAATAAAACAGTAGAATCTAAGCAAAGTCTATTACAATGTTGTCATGTACTCATGGACTGCATATCCTAGCACTAACAATTCATTCTAAAATCTATCAGAAGGATGCTTATTTCAAGGGCATACAGAACAATGGTGATTTGCCACATGAAAGAGAAATGGATTGGGGAGAGGAAAAAAATTATGAAGGATAAAAGGGGATTGAGTCAAGCTAGTAAACCAATTTCAAGTAATATATAGTTCAGAGAAACATGAAAAAGCAAAATGAAGGGAGAAATGTAAAGAAATTAAAAGATTAAAAAAAGCATATGTGAGACAACTCTGCCTAACAGTAACTGGATAAAAAGAAATGGAACTAACATAAAAAAGAATGAAATAATGCCTTTTACAGCATTATGGATGGACTGAGATATAATCATACTAAGTAAGACAGAGAAACATGTATGTCATATGATATCATTTATATGTAGAATCTAAAAAAAAAAGATACAAATGAACTTATTTACAAAACAGAAACAAATTCACAGACATAGAAAACAAATTTATGGTTACCAAAGGGGAAGGTTGGGGTGGAGGATTAGGATTTGGGGATTAACATATACACACTACTATATATAAAATAGACAACCAACAAGGACCTACTGTATAGCACAGGGAACTATACTCAATATTTTGTAATAACCTATAAGGGAAAAGAATCTGAAAAAGAATAGAAAAATATATATGTATAACTTTGCTATACACCTGAAACACAACATTTTAAATTGAGTACAATTCAACAAAAGAAAAAGAACTTGAGCTAACTTCTCCTCCCCTAAGTACCTAAGATGAAAACAGAGACTTTAGGAAGATAATCACATGATGAACAGATGACCAACAGAAAACCATTAACAAGAAGAGACCAACAGCAATATATGATAATAATCCTCAGAAACAAGATGGTCAAAAGGGAAACTTTCTTCATGCCCTTTGACAACAGACATTCTTGCTTTGTTGTTGTTGTTACTGTCTATCAATAAAAGCCACTATGTTTTTCACAAATTTTAATAGTTAAAGAAAAATTACTGCATCTATTTTAGGAAGGCTCACTACTGATACTTCATAGTTCATTTTATGCCCAATAACTACCGGTATATCAATATTTATATGTTATATCATTCTTTAATATGATAATGTTCTCCTGCAGCAGAACAAAATATCTTTCCAAATACTGGCATCTTTACCTTCCAATCTTCTTCTATAAATTTTGATATCTTAAACTTTCTTTCAAAAGAACTCATATATCAGTATATACCTTGTGACACCTCGGAGGAACTAGATACCTACCTACAAAAATGCATAACTAGAACAGAATTTAAGATTTTATTTATGCTACAGTTATAAAACAAATGACCAAAAGCTGGGTTGCCCAAGGGTATTTGCAGCTCTCCCTGACATCTCTATTATACAGTATGTCCTCTCACCAAAGGAGTATAGCCTTGAGAAATAGAAAATGACAAAGAAAAATTTCAAAACAGAATAAGCTTTTGGTCATAGCTCTGGAAATACTCATGGCCTAAATTATGTTTTCAAATATACATTTCAATATTCAAATATAAAAGTCATACCTGATTGACCACTTCAAAATATATGGCTAAGGTTGTAGTGGGACTGAGTCCACATATCTTCCACTGACAAGTGCCACCTGTTCCTATCTCCTGTAAAAATAAAACACAGCATATTTGAAAGCTAGAGAATATAATTTATCTCTGGTGGCGGTGGTGGTTTTGTCACTAAGTCGTGTCTGACTCTTACGACCCCATGGACTGTAGCCTGCCAGACTCCTCTGTCCATGGGATTCTCCAGGCAAGAGTATTGGGGTGGGAATTTACCACTACACACACACACACACACACACACACACACACACACACACACACGCATATATATATGAAGGTGGGAAACTAGAAAAAAATAACAGTGAGAAAAAATTTACTTCAGGTTTCTAACTAATTCAATACATGTCAAATGTCTAAGATTTTTTTTAAGATCATATAAATATGCCATGAAATAAAATTAAGCAGTTTTCACACAAATAAAAGTAATTCAAATCCTTGCTAAGTAAATCATAAAAGTATTAGCATAAGTTCCTGATATTATAGACATTAAAAATACACTCAATTTAATGAAGTAATTACAACTAACATTATCCTTCTATCCAATGATTTAACCCACTTAAAGAGATAGTGATTTAGTGAAGTCGTTCAGTCGTGTCCAACTCTTTGCGACCCCACGGACTGTAGCCTACCATGCTCCTTCGTCCACGGAATTTTCCAGGCAAGAGTGCTGGAGTGGGTTGCCATTTCCTTCTCCAGGGGATCTTCCCGACCCAGGGATCGAACCCGGGTCTCCCGCATTGCAGGCAGATGCTTTACCATCTAAGCCACCAGGGAAGCCCAAAGAAAGTGAAGTTGCTCAGTCGTGTCTGACTCTACAATCCCATGGATGGAGTCTACCAGGCTTCTCAGTCCATGGGATTTTCCAGGCAAGAGTACTGGAGTGGGTTGCCATTTCCTTCTCCATGTGATTTAACATACGCATATATGAATACAGGGCTTCCTTAGTAGCTCAGATAGCAAAGCATCTGCCTGCAATGCAGAAGACCGGGGTTCAATCCCTGGTCGGGAAAGTCCCTGGTAGGAAAGGTCCTCTGGAGAAGAAAATGGCAACCCACTACAGTATTCTTGCCTGGAGAATTCCATGGACAGAGGAGCCTGGTGGGCTAGAGTCCATGGGGTCATGAAGAGTCGGACACGACTGAGTGACTAACACACATACATATATGAACACAGGTTCTTTGGATCAGAACTGTGTAATTTAAGCAGTCTAATTCCCAAGAAAACATCTTAGATATAAATTTTTACCATGCAAACTGCTTAATTTTTAAAGTGTCATTTCAAAGATGATTGCACACTTTGTATTTTATTCCATCATTTTCTTCACAGCTACATGATTCTACCATTTCAAAGCACCTTATATATCTCCTAGATGGAATAACAGTAAAGAAAGGAATTAATTCAGCTTGTGGCTTAGCTGGTAAAAAGTCAGCCTGCAATGTGGGAGACCTGAGTTATAACCCTGGGTTGGGAAGATCCCCTGGAGAAGGGAAAGGCTACCCACTCCAGTATTCTGCCCTGGAGAATTCCATGGGTTGCAAAGAGTCAGACACAACTGAGTGACTTTCACTTTCACTTTCAAAATCTTAAATCTAATTTAATTACTCCAATGGAACCTCTATTAATGAAAAAAATGGGGGGATTAATTTTGACTTTTATAAATCTCCAACTTTCCAAATCGTAATAGTTGCTTTCCTTCCCCCAGGCACAATGGGGCAAGGAATAACTTAGGTATAAAAAATAGAAGGCTAGTGACAGTGCAAAAGTTTTAATTTAGGGACAGATGGGAAAAGTAGTATGTGGAAAGAACAACCACAAACAGAGGTATACCAATGGAAGTTGAACCACGTTCTACTGAAAAGCAGCCCACACAGTAATTTTGAAAGGAATGCTACATACTGCCACCCCAGGTCTCTATTGGATCTGCCCCGAGAATTAATGATTTTTAGAAAAAAAGGTCATGACTTACATTTTCAGACACACAGGGTCCTTTAGAATTGAGAGACACACAGGGTCCAATAGCTCCTGAAATCTTTATTTCCCTTGAGGTCTGCAAAATAAGAATATACAGTCAGCCCTCCATATTGGTGGACTCCACATCAGCATCGTTTTGAATGAGAGCTTTCTGGATATATGTGGCAATTTCTTAAAATAAGACAACAATGAAGTTTGCTGCATCAAATTACTCTTCTTTTCACAAGCAATCTCTCTGTAGAATGCAGCACTGTTGGACAGCATTTTACCCATTAACTGAACTTCTTTCAAAATTGGAGTGAGTCCTCTCAAACTCTGTCACTGCTCCATCAATTAAGTTTATATAATACTTTAAATCCTTTGTGGTCATTTCAACAATCTATACAGCATTTTCAGCAGCAGATTCTATTTTAAGAAACCCCACTTTCTTTGCTCATTCTTAAGAAGAAACTCCTCTCCATTCAAGTTTCATTATGAGATTGCAGCAATTCAGTCACATCTTCAGGCTTCATTTTCTTTTAAATATTTATTTATTTCACTGTGCCAGATCCTAGCTGCAGCACACAGGATCTTTGATCTTTACTGCAGCATGCAGGAGCTTCTAGTTGTGTCACGTGACTTCTTTCAGTTGCAACATATGAACTCTTATTTGCCGCATGTGGGACCTAGTTCCCTGACCAGGGATGGAACCTAGGCCCCCTCATTAGGAGCACAGTCTCAGCCACTGGACCACCAGAGAAGTCCCCAGGCTCTAATTCTAGTTAGCTCTAATTCCCCACTTCTAATTCTAGTTCTCTAGTTGTTTCCACCATATCTGTACTTCCTTCCTCCACTGAAGTCTTGAACCCCTCAGAGACCTATGAGGCTTGAAACGTCTTTCAAATGCCTGTTAAGGCTGATATTTTTTACCTCTTTCCACAAATCAAATATGTTCTTAATGGCATTTAGAATGGTGAATTCTCTGCCAAGATTCATCAAATGAATCACCGTCTATGGCAGCCATGACCTTGTGAAACATATTTCTTAAAAAATATGACCTGAAAGTTGAAATTATTCCTTGATCCATGGGCTGAATAACAGATACTGGGTTAGCAGGCATGAAAACAACATGAATCTCATTGTCCATCTATATCAGAGCTCTTGGAGTACCAGGTGCATTTTGAGTGAGCAGTACTATTTAAAAGAGAACCTTTTTTTTCTGAGCAGTAGGTCTCAACAGTGGGTTCAAAATATTCAGTAAACATGCAGTAAACAGATATGCTGTCATCCAGGCTATGCTGTTCCATTTAAAGAGCATGGAGAGAAGATTCTTAAGGGTCCAGGGATTTTCAAAAATGGTAAAGGAGTCTTAACTCAACTTAAAGTCACCAACTGCATTAGCCCCTAACAAGAGAGTCAAGACTGTCCTTTGAAGCCAGACACTGACTTCTCTCTAGCTATGAAAGTTCTCAGTGGCATTTTCTTTCAGTAGAAGACCAATTCACCTACACTGAAAACTTGTTTTAATTAGCTACCTTCATTAATTATCTTAGCTAGATCTTCTGGATAATTTTCCTGTAGCTTCTACATCACCACTTGCTGCTTCCCTTGCACTTTCATACTTTCCTTAAACCTTATGAACGAACTCTGTGCTAGCTTCAGATTTTTTCCTCTGCAGCTTCCTCACCTCTCTCAGCCTTCCAAGAACTGAAGAGAGTTAGGGCCTGCTCGACATTAGGATTTGGCCTAAGGGAATGTTATAGCAGGTTTTATCCTCTATCCAGGCCACTAAAAATATCCGCAATCAGGCTATTTCACCTTCTTTTTGCTATCATTCATGTACTTTTAATTTCCTTCAAGAACTTTTCCTTTGCCTTCACAACTTGGCTAAATGTTTGGTGCCAAGAAGCCTAGCTTTTGGCCTGTCTTGGCTTTTGACATGGCTTCCTCAGTAAGTTGTTTTTATTTTCTTCTCAGTAAGCTTTTGATTTAAAGTGAGAGATGTGGGACTCTTTCTTTCACTTGAATGCTTTAGAGGCCATTGCACGGTTATTAATTGACCTAATTTAAAATATTATTGTGTCTCAGAGAATAGGAAGGCCTGAGAAGAGGAAGAGAGACAGATGGAGTGATCAGAACATATACATTTGCTGATTAAGTTCACTGTCTTAAATGGGCATGGTTCATGGTGCCCCAAAACAATTATGGTATTAATGGTAACATCAAAAATCATGGATGACAAATGCAATAATAATGAAAAAGTTTCAAATATTGTGAGAATTACCAAAATGTGACAGAGACATAAAATAAGCAAGTACTGGTGGAAAAATGGTGCTAACAGACTTGCTCCACACAGGGTTGCCACAAATCCTCAACTTGTAAAAAACAGTACCTACAAAGCACAATAATACGAGGTATAGTGTAAAGTGAAGTCACTCAGTTGTGTCCGACTCCTTGCGACCCCATGGACTAGTGTAGCCCACCAGGCTCCTCTGTCCATGGGATTCTCCAGACAAGAATAATGGAGTGGGTTGCCATTTCCTTCTCCAGGGGATCTTCCCGACCCAGGGATCGAACCCAGATCTCCCACATTGCAGGCAGAGGCTTTAATCTCTGAGCCACCAGGGAAGCCCCCAATACGAGGTATACCTAGCCTTAAAAAGTTAAACCCTATATAAACAAAAAATGGAGTCAAAGGAAATTTTACTTACATGATTTTTTGTTTTAACAATTATCTATGGATTTCAAGTAAAATTTCATTATATGTTTAATAATGAACAGTATTATGGTGAATAAAATCTCTAACTCCAGGTTTCAATGTAAAATAACCACTATTTTTAAAGTATATATTGAATTTGACTGATGTTATTTTAAAATTATGATCAAGCATACAAATTTCTCTCTTAGTAACATACCACACATGTCAAGTTTTAGCTCTTACCTTTATTTCTAATGTACCACCAAAGCCCATTTTAAACTGCCCATGCATATCTTTGGTAAAAACTCTTTGAAAGGTCTGCTTGAATAAAGAAGTGTTGAAAGAGTCGCCCATTACCATGTATCCTCTGCATGAAAAGAACAAGAAACAATGTGATGCGAATACTTGGGTCTATGTGGTAAAACTAGAAAAGCAGATTATTTCTCAACACTACTAACAACATTTTAAAGATACTTCCTAAAATGTGCTTATTAACATTAATTTAAAAAACTCAATTATATGAAAATATTCCTCCCCACAAATAATCTCAATTCTGAGGGTACCTGAGTGCCCCTAACACTTGTATTTGTCCTCAGTCATTTTTTAAAAATCTTTTTTAAATAGGTTATACATCATACATTACAAAATTCAGAAAGCACAAATGGGTACACAGTACCATGTGTTGGATGTGAGAGTTGGACTATAAAGAAAGCTGAGTGCCAAAGAATTGATGCTCTTGAACTGTGGTGCTGGAGAAGACTCGAGAGTCCCTTGGACTGCAAGAAGACCAACCAGTCCATCCTAAAGGAGATCAGTCCTGGGTGTTCACTGGAAGGACTGATGTTGAAGCTGAAACTCCCAATACTTTGGCCACCTGATGCGAAGAGCTGACTCATTTGAAAAGACCCTGATGCTGGGAAAGATTGAGGGCAGGAGGAGAAGGGGATGACAGAGGATGAGATGGTTGGATGGCATCACCAACTCGATGGACATGAGTTTGGGTGGACTCCGGGAGCTGGGGATGGACAGGGAGGCCTGGCGTGCTGCAGTTCATGGGGTCACAAAGAGTCAGACACAACTGAGCAACTGAACTGAACTAAACATATGTGTCTCTCCTACCCCAGTTACCCATTCTCCCTGCTAGTGAAGACAGCTGAGTTAATGGCATGCATTCTCATTTTTAAAAACAAATATCTATATGTGTATGTGTGTATGCACGTATTTGTTTCTGTGTGTCACATCAAACTTAACCCAGTGAATGAGAATACAGGGATACTTCGGGAGCATTTTCACTTTATGCACTTAAATACTGTTAATTTTTTTTTTCCATAACCACGTACTTCTGTAAATTTAAGTTTTAAAAAAACATTAATCGTCAAACAGAAACTATCTGAGATGCCATTTTCACCCTAATAAATCAGCAAAGCAGTCTGACAATGTATTCTGTTGAGGAGACTGTGGCAAAAGTAGGCACTTTCATAACTGCTGATGGGAATGGAAAATGGTGCAACCCCAACGCAAGGGAATGTGACAATATATAACAAAATTAAATATGTATTTTCTCTTTAATCCAGCAAACACACTGTTAGGAATCCATCCCAAAGATCACTGGGCAAACAAAAACAAAAAGCAAAATATAGACACAAGTCTATTCACTTAAGTACTTTTTACAATAATAAAAGATTGGAAATAATCCAGATGATCATCTGTTAAACTACCTGAATAAAATATGGTATATCCACACTGTGGAGTAATATACAATTGATCCTTGAACAACACAAGGTTTTGAACTGCAAGGGTTCACTTACACATGGGTTTTTTTCAGTAGTAAATACACAGACCCATACTATTCACTGATGGTTGAATCTGAGAATGTAGAACTGCAAATATGGAAGAACCACAGATATGGAGGGCTAGCTAAAAATTATATTCAGACTTTCCACTATGCAAACGGTCAGTTCCCCTAATCCTCAAATGGTTCAAGAGTCAACTGTATAAATCTATTTCCAGGATGTGGGTAAAAAATGCAAAGTAGGAAAAAATGCAAAGTAGGGGAAGGCATGTAAAATTTCTGTTTACATTAAATTGGGGATTAAAAAAAATTTTAATAAAAAATTAAAAGAGGACACATATACTCATAAACATGAGTACAAACATTTATAAACATTTTGTATAGTTTTTAAATAATAAAAACATTTTGAGCAGTTTTTAAATAATAAAAACAATCAAAAATTAAATTAGGCAAAAGAATAAAACTGTAATTAATCAATGTTATTTATTTATTTGGCTGTGCAAGGTCTTCACTGAGGCATGCAGGATCTGGTTCCTGGACCAGGGATTGAAACCAGGCCCCCTACATTGGGAGTGTGAAGTCTTAGTCACTGAAGTTCCAGGGAAGTACTCAACAGTAATTTTATTTTTGATACTGCTAAAGTCCTAATTTATGTCATCTCTGATGCTATTAAAGATTGTATGTTGTTAAATTTTGCTTGCTCTTTATTGTTGACTCTTGAACAACCCAGAGTTGGGACACAGACCCTTATGCTCAGTCAAAAATCTATGTAAAACTTTTTAGTTACCCCTTTGTATCCACAGTTCCACATCCCCAGATTCAACCAACTAAGGATAGTGTAGTAATTCAGTGTAATTCAGTGTATATTTACTGAAAAAACATCCACATATAAGTGGACCTGTGCAGTTCAAATTCATGGTGTTCAAGGGTCTACTGTATTTGTTACTGGTATACAAAAATATAATTGAAGCTTGTACACTGACTCTGATTTAGAAGTCTTGACAACCTAACATACTGATTTTACAGTCGACAGGTACATTCTTTCAGATTTTCTACTTCTGTAAACATACCATCTATAATGATCTACATTATACTAAACCTAGTTAAGCATCCTAAATTAATGGCAACATATACTGCACCCTATTACCTGCTCCCTTTTCAACAAACTTTTATGCAAGAGCTGTCTATACCTTCCTAGTCAGTGTGGCCCTTGATCCATCAACATTAGCATCACCAAGGGTCTTGTTTGAAAAGCAGAATTTCAAGTCCCATCCTATGCATACTAAATCCAGAATCTGCATTTTACCAAGATATCCAGCTGATGTGTAAATGTGAAATGGAAGTCTGAGAAGTTCTGGTCTATACCAGCTGCTCCCACTCCCCTCTCCTGTTCCTTTTCTTATTCATTCTAAGTCAACTTTCAACCTCTTAGGAAAGTCACCAATGACCTTCACAGTGATAAATTACACAATCTTATAATCTCATCCACTTTTACTACTTTAAAAAAAACGTGTACTATTCTGGCAACTCCCACATTTATATCTACAGATATAAATCCAGACCTATCTTCTGCCTTCCAGGTTCTAATATCCAACTACCTACTCAACTCCTCCAACAGATGTCTACTGGCATATTAAACCAAACATGCTCAGAACTGAACTCCTAATCTTCTCCCCAACTGTTCTTCCTCCCAGTCGTACCCATTTCAATAAGGAACAGCACAATCCTTCTAGACTCATTTGCTCTTCTCAAACCCCAGATCCAACCTATCAGCAAATCTTCTATCTTCTAAATATATCCAAAATCCAACCATGTCTCACCACCTGTGAAACCACCACTTGGTATTCCTGTATCTCACTGCTGAAGGCAACTGAAATCAATGACCCTTTTAAAACATTTAGTCAAATCATATCACTCCTCTCCCAAAAACTCACTAATGACTTCCCATCTCACTCAAGGTAAAATCCAACAATCTAGGGATAGGAAAATATTCAACCTGATAAAAGCATCTACAAAAATCCACAGCTAATGTTATTCTTAATGGAGAAGGACAAAATGGCTTCCCCCTAATATCAAGAATAGGCAAATCTATAGAGACAGAAAGTAGTTTAGTGGTTGTTTAGGCTGAAAGGGGAGGGGAAGGAAGGAGAAATAGAGAGTGACTGATAATGGGTACAGAGTTTCTTGCTGGGATAATGTAAATGTCCTAAAATTAAATTATGTTGATAGTTAGAATATACTAAAAAAATAAATTATATGCTTTAGGGACTTCCATGGCTGTCCAGTGGTTAAGACTCTGTGCTCCCAATGCAGAGGGCCCTGGTTTAATCCCTGGTAGGGGAACTAAGATCCCACATGCCACATGCCATGCAGCACAGCCAAAAGAAAGTAAAATAAATTATATGCTTTAAATGGGTAAATTCTATGGTATGTTGATTAAATTTCACAAAAGCCACTAAAGTAATAAAATACAACAATGACTTAAGAGTATCAAGATGAGCTTTTCAAAGAGAACTTGTGCCTTTTTAACTGTATTTTAGAAAAAATTTAAAGTGAGCATCACTGAAAGGAGTATCAAGAACTTAATAGCTGTTGCCCGAGAGTGGCTGGATGATGACTCAGTTACTTTTTCCAAAACTGTCATTGGTTTATATTTGTAAACTCTCATTATTAATTTTAATTATAAAACTTATAAAAATGTGAATACATACCCGGTAAGGTTAGGACAGCATTTCATCTCCAGGAGACCTGTCTGATCTAATGCACATGCATAGATATCAATTACATGACCAGTGGTAGCAGCGCGATTAGCCAATGCTTCAAAATGCTACAAGAGAATTTTTAAGATCAAATCAAAGTAATGTACAAACTTCATCATCCTATAACTCTTTTGCCATTAATAGGTCAAGATGATCTAAGAAATGTTCAGAGTCCATAATAATTTAAATGTGATTTGTCCTAATTTAATTTTCTATAATGTCTCATAAAATAATACAATACATTATAGTAAGTCTGGCACTTTCACATTCTTTACTTTTAACTGCTATTCTTTCTAAACTCTTCAATCAAGTTAACCTTGAAGAAAAGCATAGTGAACATCTTGCTCTTCATACATAAAAATAATAGAAGAATCAACATAGAACTTTTTCTTGGCTAAATCTATACCCAAGTAACATCAAAAACAGAGAGACAATAACAAAAGCGTTACGATAAACAAATATAAAACTTTTTTTGCAGCTCTAAGAAATATTCCAAGCTCAAAAGAGAAATTAGGTGTCAGGAAAGTAGTATCCATTAATAGTAACAAAAATTATCTGTTATTAACTACATACTAAAAATTGAATAATGACTACCAAAAAAAAATATGAGACAATACAGCACAACCAAGCTAAAATTGTAAACTTTAGAGAATTTTTTTTAAAGGGGGGATGGTTGGGAATTAACAAGCAGAACCAATACAAGGGTGTCAAGAATTTAAAGTAGTAAAAATGTACTGACACAAACCCAGGTAAAATTGAAGTTTCATGAACAGAGAACAACTCATGAGAAAATGATGGACTATTCAAATTACGAATAATACTCACATCTAAAGGGCAGCCTCTTGGAAACAAGAAATAGGAAAATTTAAGAAATTCTTCCTTATGGGAAAGACGTTCATTAACATGAATATTAAAAAGACACACAGGTTTTTCTCCCAGGATTAACTTTTAAAGAGACACCTACTGGTGTCCACTAGTAAGTTTTTAATTTAAAAATTAAATTTTTAAGTTTTTAATACTTCAGCCACTGGATGCGAAGATCTGACTCATTAGAAAAGACCCTGGGGAGCGGCAGCGGTGCGGGGTGCAGCCTCGGAGGCTGCGGGCAGCGGCCAGCGGGCAGGAGCGTGTTCAGAGAGGATCCAGGAAACGTAAGGGCAGTGGCAGGTAGACTGGAGGAGAGCACGCTGATGCTGAAGTACTATGAGCTTCCAGAACTTCTGGAAAGACTACAAAATTCTGGTTGTTATGGTACCTCTGATTGGGTTCATACATTTGGGGTGGCACAGGATCAAAAGCAGCCCTGTTTTCCAAATTCCTAGTAAGGACAACCTCTCTGAGGACAACACTGGCACTTACAAGTCCTAAGAAGAACCAACTCCCAGGGAAATAACAGGTTTGCAAGTTTCAGAAAGAAGCAGCTCTGAGTCAGAGCTTGAGCTAGAAAGAAGAGATGAAAAATAGAAGCTGGATCAGAAAGAACTGGCTTCTTGTAGCTATGATTTCCTTTATAGGTGTCCATCTTGGGACATATTTTATACAGAGGGCTGCAAAACAGTCTGTAAAGTCTCAGCCTGAAGACAAACAAAAGAATTTGAATAATTAAAATAAATATTTGGAATTACTAAAATGTCATTATATTGATCATTATGTGCCAATTAGCTTCATAAGCATGGACCTCAGTATTTAATTTTATAGCCACCATGCTGTAAATCCGAACTGATTCCTGAAAGATAATCTTGTTAAATGTTAAAACCCATGACAATGCAATGAATAGAAACTCTGGTTAACAAAAAAAAAGCTTTCTTCACAAATTAAAAAAAAAAGAAAAGACCCTGATGCTAGGAAAGATTGAAGACAGGAGAAGAAGGGGACAACAGAGGATGAGATGGTCGGATGGCATCACTGACTCAATGGACAGGAGTTTGAGTAAGCTCCAGGAGTTGGTGATACACAGGGAGGTCTGGCGTGCTGCAGTCCACAGGGTCGCAACTGAACAACTAAACAACAAAATCAAAGTTTTTAAATATTTAAAACCAGAAAATAAAATACCCTAAGTTATCAAGGAAAAAAAGACTATTTCTCTAATTCTGAACGGCATCTTATAGGCTCACCACAATATCGGATTTATCATCAAGTAATTATATTCCTCCTCCTTCATCAAATGAATTTTTCTAATAAGGCAAAAAGACTTAAAAATAAAACTTACCTTAGTTCCCTTTTTGACATATTTGGCATTGTCTTTTTCAATGTCGTGCCATGATCTTATGGGCGTCTTCAGTTCATCTCCAACCACCATTCCAGGGCCCTGAGTGGCTGGACCACCAATGAACATCATGATACGAGCACCAGTGTTGGGAAAAGTACACTATCAGGGAAAAGTAACCCGTGAGAAGAGTTTAAAGGGAAACATGGATATACATTTCTGATAGTGAATTTTGATATATTCTTTCTAAACAACAGGAAAGCACACATATTCAGGAATAATCAAACGTTTAAAACAAAATTTAAACACAAGATGTTAATATCTTTCTTTTGAAATTCTATTCTAATAACCATGTTTTCCTTATTTTATTTTTCTAATTTTAAAATTATCTATAAACCTGATCCCTATAAGCAAGGTTGTTCCTCCTGCTTAACTAGTACAGACAGGAAGGAGTAGAGAAAGAAGAAGAAAATAGGGCACTCTATTTGTTCCAAATTAGTAATGAATAATATCATATTCAAAATGCTTTTATTTTTAATTTCTATAAGCAGTTATTGAATAAAAATTCAGAGTGCATTTTCAAGCTACTTATTCATTACATTCAGAAAAGAATATAACACTTCTCAGGCTTTTTGCTAAGATCAAGTGCAGAAAAGAATGTAAGTGACATAAACTTTAATAATAATTTTAAAAATCACATACTTAACAAATCTAGGGAAGAGCAAGGAAAACTGCTTTTTAATTTTCATTTTCATATATCCTTATATATTGTTTGAATGTTTTAACTAGGTGTACTTATTACTTGTATAACTTTCTTAAACTAGATTAATAAATAAAAGTACTCTTTTCATCCTGGGTATCATCTTCCTGATGTAATAGCAATCATGTAAAGCTGAAACATCAGTAAAGAAGAACAAATAAAAGTATACAAACCACACATCTTCATAACTAGAACACAGAAAACATTTAAACTTTTAATTACTTATAAGGAAAAAAATAAACACTAAGTCCCAGTGAGCTATCTCCCACGCAAACCTTCACACAGAGCAAGCGCAGTTTGGGGAAAAGTAGAGGGGAAAAAAAGAAGGGAGCTAGCAACCAGCATAGAACAACTGCCAGATTCAAATGAAAACTTAAAGGAAACTGAAGAAAAGCAAGAAAATACCCAAGAGCATAAAAACGAAGTAAAGAAGAATAAAAGAGCACAGACAAAGTGGCTGAAATGGAAAACAAGCAAAGATCCAATTTATGTGTAACTGGAGTTCTTAAAGTAGATAAAACAATGAAAAAACTAACACTTAAAACTATGATACAAGAAAACTTTATAGAAACAAAAGATTTGAATACACATATAAAAAAGAATCACCAGACACTAGAGAAAATTTACCCACAAGACACTCTACTAATGCTATTAAGATAATAAAGATAAATTCCTCAATATCTCCAAGCAAAGTGATAAAATAATTTACATGGGCATGAGAATTAGACTGGCATCAGTCTTCTCAAAATCATCAAAGCAAGAAAACAACAGAGGATCATTCTCAAAAACTAGAAGCGAGGCTTTTTACATCCTGCCAAGTTATCCTTCAACTATAAAAAAGCCTCAGAAGAAGTGTTTAAACATTAGACAGTTCATGAGATTCTGTACCCTTACATCTTCTTAAGAAATTTACTAGAAGACAAATTTCATACAACAAAGGGACTGACACTACTCTGAATACACAGTTTTGTACAACTTTGATTTGGAAGCATGTTAATGTTTCACTATACAAATACACACATGCAAAACAAGAATGGGATTTTTAAAAAAGAAATGTACAGAATGTGCAACAAATGAAAAACATAACCACACGAAGTGGGGGGAGGGTATGGATAACTAACCCAGTTCACTTTTGAGTATAGTATATTTTGTCTCATATATCCTCAGAATGTTAAATAAACCTTGAGCCCTAATTCCTAGGCTTTATTCACAGAGGTATGAGCTAAAAATTCTAAAACTAGTCTATCTGTATTCTACGACTGAGCAAACAAGTAAATATATTTTGAATAGTCACAGCCAGCTTCTCACAGTCAAAGAAGGAGTTACAAATATGCAAAGTGGGAAGGACAGAATAAACCCTGTGGTACTAAATTGGAATTAGATACATCTGAAAGAACTCTTGGTTTTTAATATATATAGTGTTTAAGGTTTTAATAGAGATAGACATAGATGTTAGCAGGCGAATGTAGATATATGTGTAAATAAACACACACATCTGTACACATACACTTAATTATATGGGTATGTGTGTATGTATATAAATATACAGCTATAGAGAGAGAGAGAAACATACATATAGATATATCTACTTATCTTCTTATACATATTTACTTCTTAGCTCTGTTCACTAGGACATAAAAGCAATGACATTCTGGTAACAGTGAACACATGAACCATCAGTTCAGTCGCTCAGTCGTGTCCAACTCTCTGCAACCCCATGGGCTGCAGTACACCAGATTCCCTGTCCATCACCAACTTCCAGAGTTTGCTCAAACTCTTGTCCATCAAGTCGGTGATGCCATCCAACCATCCATCCTCTGTCATCCCCTTCTCCTCCGGCCTTCAATCTTTCCCAGCATCAGGGTCTTTTCCAGTGAGTCAGTTCTTCACATCAGGTGGCCAAAGTATGAGAGCTTCAGCTTCAGCATCAGTCCTTCCAATGAACACTCAGGACTGATCTCCTTTAGAATTGACTGGTTGGATCTTCTTGCAGTCCAAGGAACTCTCAAGAGTCTTCTCCAACACCACAGTTCAAAAGCATCGATTCTTCGGCACTCAGCTTTCTTTATAGTCCAACTCTCACATCCATACATGACTACTGGAAAAACCATAGCTTTGACTAGATGGACCTTTGTTGGCAAAGTAATGTCTCTGCTTTTTAATATGCTGTCTAGGCTGGTCATAGCTTTCCTTCCAAGGAGCAAGCATCTTTTAATTTCATGGCTGCAGTCACCAACTGCAGCAATTTTGAAGCCCAAAAAATAAAGTCTTTTTCCATTGTTTCCTTATCTATTTGACATGAAGTGATGGGACTAGATGCCATGATCTTAGTTTTCTGAATACTGAGTTCTAAGCCAACTTTTTCACTCTCCTCTTTCACTTTCATCAAGAACCTCTTCAGTTCCTCTTCACTTTCTGCCATAAGGGTGATGTCATCTGCATATCTGTTGTTAATGATATTTCTCCCAGCAATCTTGACTCCAGCTTGTCCTTCATCCAGCCTGGCATTATATGTACTCTGCATATAAGTTAAATAAAAGCAGGGTGACAGTATACAGCCTTGATGTACTCCTTTCCCAATTTGGAAGCATTTTTTTGTCCCACATCTGGTTCTAACTGTTGCTTCTTGACTTACATACAGATTTCTCATGAGGCAGGTAAGATGGTCTGGTATTCTCATCTCTTTAAGAATTTTCCACAATTTGTTGTGATTCACACAGCCAAAGGCTTTGGCATAGTCAATAAAGCAGAAGTAGAAGCATGGTTATGTTCAAAAACAAACAGAACTAAAAGAAACCAGGGCTTTTAAATGGCTGATTTCAGGTCAAGGGCAAGGAACATGTAAGATGAGCCTTGAACATCTTACTATACTAGAAAGCAAGTAAATGTTCAAACAATGATGAGGACATATAATAAGGACCCAGAAGCCAGCTTGAAAGGGTTCCCATTGCCAAAATCTGGACAATTTGATTTTCAAAATAAATAATGACAGTAAAGGAATATAATCTATTGGATGAAATAAGAATTCACATTGATATAATCATATAAATGAAGAATAGAACACTCTTCCTCAAGTAGAAAGTCAATAAATGTAGAAGAAATGATGGAATTAGTCACTATTTAGCCCCCCACACAATAATAATTGATCAAGCAAGAATCAAGAATGGATGCTAAAACTACTGGGTAAAAGTTTGATGAGTACACAAGGAATTTCCCCATTAGATACTTACAATGGGAAAAATATAATGCTACAGTGAAGAAACCTGGTAGAAACTACTTTGACCAAGTGAACAAAGCTAAGTAAACCAGCAGAAATAAAATAAGTTAATGTCACATCATGGACTTTCTGAGATGCTCCACTAAGCAGATCGCAAATCAGTATTTGCATTTTTTTGCAATATTCCTGCCAAAAGTTCAAAAGCTCAATCTACTCATGAGAAAAGATCAGATAAACCCAAATTGAAAGTCATTCTACAGAATAACTAGCCTAAACTAACACAACATTACAAAGCCATTGTCCTACAATTAAAAATTTCAAAATTAAAATAAAAAAATAACTAGACTGTACTCTTAAAAAATATTAATGTCACGAAACACAAAGAAAAACTGAGGAACTATTAGAATAAAGGACACTAAAGAGACATGACAACTGAATACAATAGAGTATTATTAGGATAACTGGTGAAATCTGAATAAAGTTTAAAGATTTGGAAAATAGTGTTCTATCAGTGTTATCTCATGACTGTTAAATGAACTGCATTATAAAAGCAATGTTCTTGTGTAATTAAGAAGTACACACTAAAGTACTTAGAAGTAAAAGGACATATTTGTAACTTACTTTCAAATGGTTTCACTATCTATATAAGTATCTAGAAAGAGAAGGACAAATCAAATGTAATAAATGTTAACATTTGAGGAATCTGGTTAAAAGATATAAAGGAATTCTTTAAACGATTTTTGTGACTTTTCCGTATGTTTGGAATTATGTCAAACTAGAAAGTTAAAAGAAAAAAAAAACTGAAAGTAACAGATTATAACTCGTATAAAACAGGAAACCATCAATCCACAATGATATTAATAAATAAATGAATAAATTGAAAGTTTGATGAGGAATGGGATATTTTCATGGTTTTAAAGATCCTCACCATCTAATATTTATTAATCATAAAGGGAAGAGAAATGAGAATAATTTTACAGTGGAGACTTCTTCCAGACACATTTTAATGAATGATCAAAGTGATCATCATCAATAATGGGGCAAATGAAAATCATGTGTCACCTGATAGGCTCTAAAAAGAACAGATCACTTCTGTGATCTTCCTGCCAAAGATGCAAGACCTCAATCTAAGTGTAAGGCTACCATCAAGGCAAACCTAATTTGAGAGACATTCTATATACTGGCCTGAATCTCCCAACATGCCAAGGTCATGAAAGTAAAGGAAGGCTGAGGAAATGTACTCAAGTGGAGACTAAACAGACATAATCACTACATGTGCGTGCATGCATGCTGAGTTGCTTCAGTCGTGTCCAACTCTTTATGACCCCATGGATTGTAGCCCACCAGGCTCCTCTATCCATGGAATTCTCCAGCCACGAACACTGGAGTAGGTTGCCATGCCCTTCTCCAGGGGATCTGCCTGACCCAGGGATCAAACCTACGTCTCTTATGTCTTGTGCATTGGCAAGCAGGTTCTTTACCACTAGTGTCACCTGGGAAGCCCAATCACTACATGCCTCTGAATTAAATCTTTTAAGCAAAAAAAATTATTGAGATAATCATGAAACTTGAATGAGTTCTGAGAATTAGATGGCAGTAATATATCTGTGCTATGTACTGTATAATTCAATGGATATGAATTTGAGCAAACTCTTGGGAGATCGTGAAGGACACGGAAGCCTGGTGTGCTGCAGTCCATGGGGTCGCAAAGAGTCAGATGCAACTAACAACTGAACAACAACAACACAAAATACATCAGTGTCATGTATTGTATAAAACATCAGCATATATATATATATATATATATACACTGATATATATATCACATATTTTAAAACCTGATTTTAAAAGCTGTATTGTGGTTATATAGGAGAATATCTCAGTTTACAGAAAATACAGCTAAAGTATTCATGGAGTTGGGAACATCACTTAATCACAAATAGTTCAAAGAAAAAAGTCCTTTGCAACTTTTCTAGTTAACATTTCAAATTTTAAAAAAACTTTTTTTAACAAAAACTTTTAATTATTAATATAAAGCTAAGATATATCAAGTTTAAAATTTTCAAATTGTATTTAGTAAAATTCTCCTTATCCTGCCACTCTTAATATTTGGGAAAACATCATTCCAGAAGTTTCTCTACACACAAAAGGATATACCACAGATCAAACTTTAAATAAAATCATGTATGTGCTGTCCCGTGACCTAATTTTTCCACCCAGCATCATCTTGTGCATATCAGTCCACACATACATGTACATATTTACACTCCAAAATAAAGCTACTGTCACTACCTCAAGGAGTCCTACAGCTATGGAAAGTGCCACCCCAGAGGAACGCAGAGGTCTCTTTCCCTGTGGTACAGGCCAGGGGTCTCGCTGAAGTTCTCCCAGAAGGTCTGTGAGATTCATGTCTATCTTCTGTACTGGCTGCAAGAATCTACAAAACAAAATAAAATAAAAAGCTATTGATAAATGTCTGTGGGTGAAGGTTTAAGAAACAAACACTTTCTTAAAAACAGAAAAAGCAGCTGAATACATGGCAGACCAAATGGTTCTCAAACTTTTGTGTATATCAGAATCGGTGAGAGGGTTTGTACTGACAGACTGCTGGTTCCAGGGTTTTGTTTCAGTAGGTCTGGGGTGGTGACCAAGAATTTGCATTTCAAGTAAGCTCCCAAGTGATGCTGTCTACCGCTGAGGAACTGCGTGTGTACAACTACTGTAAAGAAAACACTCAAACCAAGTATTACTTTGAGACTGCATCTTCCGTTTACCAATCTAGTAAGTTTTAAAGTTACTGAATTAATTATGAGAAGATGCATCAACTCAATTTTACTAATACCACCTCTGATTAGTAAGTTTAACAGAAAAAGCTACCCATAAAGGTAAGAAGGTAAAGTAAAAAGCTTATGGGGCCCTATTTTTGCTTGGCTGCCCTCCCAAGCACAAAAATTAAGGTTTTTGAACTTAAAAATAGAACAATCAGGAATATATCAAAACTATTCCAGAGGCTTTCCTGGTGTTTCAGTGGTAAAGAATCTGCCTGCCAATGCAGGAGACACAGGTTTGATCCCTGATCCAGGAAGATCCCAATGCTGCAGAGCAACTAAACCCCTGTGCCCCAACTACTGAGCCTGGGCCCTGGAGCCTGGGTGCCGCGACTCCCGAGCCCGTCCACGTGAGAGCCTGTGCTCTGCAATGGCAGAGGCCGCTACAGTGAGAAGCCCTTGCACTGAGACTGAAGAGCAACCCCTGCTCACAGCAACCAGAGAAAGGTCCGTGCAACAACAAAGACCCAGTGCCATCCAAACAGGTAAATAAATAAAATGCCCCACATAAATTTTAAAAAAAACAAATATACTCCAACACTAAAAAAAATTTTTAAAGACTGTATCAAAACTAAAGTAACTCCTTACATTGTAATGAAGAAAAACCAACCATTTCAGCGATGTGATGTTACCTCAACTCTTTAAAAAGTATACTAATTCAGTATTTATATTCCTAAAAATATTTAACAGTATTGTATCACTGAAGGCCTGTGTTCAAGTTAAGGGTGAAGACAGATGCATTAACTGTAAAACTATGAGGTTCTTTTTGCCATATTTATTACCTATTGGAAGGAGGTGGCTGCTGCACCTGAGGACCACGTGTTGCTTGAGTAACTGGTACCTTAGAGAGCCCCAGCATTTCCTGTAAAGAGATAATTTCTGTGATGTCCATTTAATTACTCCTACAAAGATGTACTAACTATTTATGGCATGGAAGGTGCTTCCATAGGCATTAGAAACACAAAAATAAAGAACACAAAATCTCTTCCCTTGAAAGCAAAAGTTCCAAATGGGGACACTGTCAGGTAAACAGTGATACAATGAAATAAACATCATAAGAGAGCAAAGTACAAAGTGCCATGTGAGCAAAGAAGGGGGAAACTGGCTCAGAATACTTCATTTCTAATTAATAGTCAAAATAAATTACTGTGTAACTTCAATGTCTGTATTCTTAACTTGTATTCATTTATTCCTTTCAGCAGCTATACAGTTCAAGTATCTGTTATGGGCCAGGTATGTAATGGTGAAAAATATAAATAGTCCCTGACTATATGGAAATATAAATCTGGTGAAACCAACAAAAGTTAAAGCACTAGCTAAATAAGTGTAATAATAAATATGATGGATAGACCATAAGGAATTGTATAAAGGGGGGTTATAACGTAATAAACATCTTGCATGCCTATGATTTTTAATTCTCTGACTTATATGAACAGAGATCTCTGCCCTCTCAACTATCTTCCAATTGATGAACATATTCATTTAAAGTAATATGAATATCTCTCATGATCTATCAAAATATCTAGACAGAAAAAGATTTTGAAAAATATACCAAGATAATCCTAGTATGTTGCACATAATTCCCTGCCTTGGAAGACAAGGCTTTCATTTGCTCCAAAAACAAAAATATCCCAGTGTATGAAAAAATATATATATTCACGGTTCACCTATTAACTCTCAAGCCTTAAAATATCTTCCCTTGCCAAACACAAAGTGTTCAGCTCCTAAGTGACATGCAAAGAAACAAGAGCTAACACTGTGTGGCTGCCTCCTCTCAGTCCTCAGCATAACTCTTCTACAAGCCTTCAAATCTCTAGCAAAATAGCTTCAGTTTCACTCCAAGTTTTACGGATACTTCAGAGGTGAAGGGTCTTCAATCTCTATGATTACAGCGTAAGGCAAACAAAAGAAAGCTGAGGCCAACACTCAATTTAAAGGCTTTGTTATAAGACAACTATATTAGTCATTCATAACATTTTCTGGAAACATGTATCTAGAAGGCATCTTTAGACATACATAGAAAGATATGCAGAGACAGGCAAACTACCATTCTTGTTGTTTACCTGAAGTTGTTTGGCAGACAGATCTTTTGTTCCTCTGAAGACATAGCTTTTTGAAATGCCCTCACATCCAAGTTCATGAACCTGCACCATTCTCCCAAAAGTAATTAAGCCAACCAAAGCTGTAGGTGGTAAAAGGCTTAGTGACATCTGCATAGATTCTTTCAGGGCTTGTAAATCTTCATCTTCCATGCAAGTATCAACCACATAGAGGAATATCAAAGGCATCTGAGGACCACGCTTTTAAAAAATATTGTGATAAAAAAAATGTTTTAAAAGTATAACACTTCAGCTCAATACATAGGATAATCAATAGAGGACTAATTAAATAATGTATTATATGTTTAACAATGGAATTCTAATAAAGCCATTTTACAAATGAAACAGATTCTATATCTAATATATCAAGTGAAAAATTAAGTTTATGAACATTAGTTATGTTACACGAAGGGAACTTTCACTTTCAGTTTTACTTAACTGCATGAAGTTTCATTTCTTACAACAAGCATTTCTTTTAAAATAAGAAAACAGTAACTTTAAAGCTTAACAGCAAAATTATGTTCTTTTTATAAAATAATTATCTAATCTGAATTGCATTGTAAAGGAACTAGAAACTAGTCAGAGTGGACAAATTACTGACAGACTCAAGTGAGTCATATTCTGCTTTCTATACAACATTCATAAAAGATATTACCTTAATACTTAAGTATTAAAATAAACTATGTAAAGCTGTTCAGAAAGGGAAGAAAAATTATTTTCCTAACAAGAACCAATTCAAGAGTAATTTCATCATTAGATTTGGGGATATATCATTAAGCTCCAGTATCATATTGACCAAGTATCTGTAACTAACCTTCCAACTACAAAGCAAAATTGATTCCTTACTATTTATTGACCTACTCGATACAGCAAATCAAACCTCCCCGCCCAAAATCCTGGCCACCTTTCAAATAACTACAATAGAAATTACCTTGCTCAAACTGACCTTGACAGTTCTTACCTTTGAAATGCTCAATCAATTCAATGTGAGAATGAAGAATGAACCTTTTAAGTCAGCTCAACTGAATAATAATTTTGGTAGTACTGCTAAATTACTGGATATTTTAAACTTTCTTAAAGAGTTACTCTTATGTTCTTACCAGAACTACATATTCAATGCTAGAAAACTGAGGTAAAAGTTCAGCAGGCTGATTCAGTTCAGATATACCAGCATAAGTCGGTGGAAACTACAGGTAGAAAAAAGCAAAATATTTTAAGAAATTATTACCAAGTAATGAAATTTTAAACTGTAAAGAATTATTTCCTGATCACTTAATTACTTAAAAAGATACTTTAATCACTTATTTAAGCCTATAAAAAAAATTAATCTTTATTTTTAAATATGTATTTTCCTGCATATATAGATCAGCATTAGTATTACAACATTAACATCTACATTGGGGGCTTTCTTACCTGATTCCTTTGATAACAAAAGTTGCAAGCCCAGAGTTTTGCTCGATAATCCACTTGACTGTTTTAAGAAAAGATACAATAGCTCATGATTCAGCTAAACTGTGCAGTAATTCCAATTTCAATAAAATTAACTTCTTTCTGAAAATGAATTAATTCAAATTGACAGTGAAAGCAATCTTTAAAAGCCATGTATTTTTAGGTGTTGCCAATATTTAATGCATACTTTTAACACATACAAGCTCACCAAAATGAATATATTGTAACTTTTAATATACAGCAAATACCAACAATAAATTAAGATAATACAATTTTTTTCCTCCAAGTGACTCAGTAACTTCTAAACTCAGCTCTAGAAAACACATATTCAATACAAATATATACAGTTATTGAATGCCATTATCCAAGGTGCTGATGATAAGTAAATGAGATCAAAGGTCCTAATATCTTAAAGCTTATATTCTAGAAGTGAAAGACCATAAACAATAAATGCATAAATGCAGAAGATACTTTTAGATAGTGGTAATAAAAACTAAAGATAACAAAGCAAGACATGAGAATGTTATTTGGGAGGGCAACTTTAAAGGAAAGCCTTCATTAATAAACAACTAAAATGTAACTGAAATGAAAAGAAACCGGTTACAGGAAAATCTGGGGGCAGAGCAATCCAGGCAGCATGTATAGCTACTGCACAAAGTTTGTGGTAGAAATAAGTTAGGTATATCCAAGAATAGAAAGATGATAAGGTGTAATGTAGGTGAAAATGGATGATACAGATGAAGGCAGAAATATACACAGGCTAGATTATATAGAGCTTTACAGGTCTTGATAAGGGGTTTGGATTTTTCATAAGTGTAATTTTCCTCTCTTCTGGGTGGAGAAGAGACTACTGAAAGGCAAGAATGGAAACAGGAAGAACAGTTAGGAGGATAACAAAGCCACCCAAGAAAAGATCACCATCTTTTGAAACACCATGTACTAGCAGAGAATGAGAGTAAGAGACAGGATCAGTAATGTTCTTGAGACAGAATCCACCAGATTTGCCAGTGGATTGAGTGGAAAGAGAAGGAGTAGAAAGAGGAATAAAAGGTGATTCTTCAGAGTCTGGCTTATATAACAAGAAATCATAACATTTTTGAAACACCATACCACTCATTTAAGACTTTTCAAATGACACAACATGAGGTGATAGCCAGCATCAGTATCTAAAGAATACTGATAGAATCTAACAGTTTACATACTGACAGTTTTGCATTTGGTTTCTTTTTAACTCACTACAACTAGTATGAGTCTAAAATTTTATAGCTCTTTGATTCTACTTTAACTTGAAAAAACAGCTATAAACAAAAACATTTTATATAAATGAACAAGAAAGAAACTACATTTTTAAATCATAGGGACACTTTAGTGTTTTCCATATACTTTAATTACCATAAAGGATTCAAGACTGCACGGCAAGTGGTCCTACTACAGAGAACAGGTTCATATTGAATGGGTGGCAAATCTGGTCTCTCCTTCAGTGGTGTAAATAAGGCTGCTACTGGAACGACCATTCTTGTAGCTTCCAATCGACTCGATGGCCAAACATTCCAACTAAATCGGACTCCATCTCGTTCTTCATTTTGTTGGATGAATTCCAAATAGGTTGTCATTGTAGAGCTTGATTCTTATTTCTGTAACAAAATTTAAAGATATTTTTAAATCTTATTAAGAAAATTCAAAATAAGTATGTTTTTCCCAGTTCCACTGATACTCATCCATTAGAAATCATAAACGAAAGAAAATAATTATTTCAGAAAAAAATTAGTAATGAACAATGACCTCAATTATAATAAAATAATGAATGGCTCTACAGAACCCAAAGCTCATTAAGCCCCAAATGAGGTATTTTATCCTTTTTTCGTTTACTCTTGAAAAAAACTACAGAAAAAATAATAAATGATAAAATTGATGTCCTATTGATTTAAGTCAAAAATGGGGAAAATCCAAGTCCTAAGTTTTCTATATCAGCCTTGTGAGTTACATCGTTCTAATAAACAGATTGCCAAAAACATTAAATTCTAAAACTCACATGCTTTTCTACCCAGAAGGTAGTAAGCTTCCACTAAACTTGCTGAAGATAATGCTTAAGAGTACACAACAAAAAGATTTTTCTAAAAGAGCTACTTCTATTTTAGACAGGCAATTTTTTATCATACTAATACAGGACATTTGAGGCACAAGATATAAATACATGATAAGTAGTAAAATACATGATAAGTGTTCCATGTGATGTATACACCATTTACTTCTTTTGCAGAAACAATTCAGAATACTTCTAACATTCCAACTTATGAGAGCATTTTAAACTCTAATTTGAGATATATAATTTCAATATAATCATTAAACTCACTACCAGAAGAGGGAGATGCCATTCTGGTTAGGGCCCGGTATCAAAAGACATCTTCATCTTGTTATTCTTTAACTGCTTGACTAGGATGCCAGCTCTCCTACCTAGGCAACAGGTCTATCTCATGCTCTCAAACTGCAGCAGTGGTTAGTGATGGAGGGAAATTATAAAGTTTAAAGGTCTAAGAAGATAGAATCTCAAGTACTATCTGGCTGGCTAAAAGATTTGTGGGAGGGATGAATGGCATCAAGAATTGGAAGAATTATGAAGGTAGGGTACCAACAGAGGCAGCATGGATGCTGAAGTTGCTAAGAACAATGATGGGATGAAGAACTGATTCTCAAATATAAGTGAGGGAAGAAAAGGTATTATTAGATATAACAGTTTTCAGAAAAATGCTCAAATATATTTTGATAATACAAATTACAGAAACTGATGCTTAACAAATCTAAGTATCTTAAACAGCTAAGAACTTTCCCTTCTTTAAAGGAAATAAGAATGTTATTAGTCAATTATATCCTAATTGAAAATATAATAAGAAAATAAAAATTAGACACTGTAATTCCTCCTATCAGAATTTCAGAGACAATTGGGGAATTTTATACTAAGCAAAAGCAATCATGGATTTTTCAAAGATTGACAAAGAGTAGAGAGAAATCCTAAGATAACTAGATTTGTTTAGAAAAGATTATTTTAAAGCTAAATATAGAAGACAGCTTTGAGAAAAATAAAAGCATTCAAGAAAAAATGGCTATTGAAAGGGATAATCAGAGGGGAGTTAGAAGATGCCAACCTCAGTTTTAGCATAGGAAACAGTAAGAGTTTTCCAACTATGTGTTTATGTGAGGCCAGATTTCCTTCATACAATTCAACCAGACAACATATCAAAACAGACAGCAGCAAGCAGATCTGAAAATCCACCTGTCTTCTATTAAGCCTAGCTCAGCTGGTAAAGAATCCTCCTGCAATGCAGGAGACCTGGGTTCAATCCCTGGGTTGGGACAATCCCCTGGAGAAGAGAAAGGCTATCCACTTCAGTATTCTGGCCTGGAGAATCCCATGTACTGTATAGTCCATGGAGTTGCAAAGAGTAGGACGTGACTGAGCAACTTATTTTTTTTTCTTTTCTTTTCTTCTGGATCCTCAATAATGTTTAAGAGTATAAACAGGTCCTGAGAATCACCTCCTTAGGACTCTAGGGCTTAATTTAAAAGCACGGAAGCTGGTAGAGAAAGGCTCTATGAAACTTATCATGAAGACATCCACACACAGGCAATGGCCAGGTTTAAGTTTCTACAAGAGGTAACAAGCCTGGATTGTAACTCCACATCCTTACTTTTTATTGAGACATACTGAGTATCACCTGACTGATATTTGAGTACAATTCCCCTCCTCTTCCTCATTGTTTGTCCTCTCAATCGCTCTGCTCTAAGATCATATTTGTTCTCTAAATCACATCTATTTATTCATTATCACTTTTCAACAGTAGTCTGAAAAATGTCCCACGTTTTTCTTCTTAACTGGTCTGATTACAAAGACATGCAAAACACCTCCCCAAATTCCCTCACCTTTCCAAGGGAGAAATTAATCTTAAAATCACTCACTCTAGAACAAATCCTGCCAGGCTTGGTCCCATATTCAACAACATCATATCTGAAATAAAGTCCTTTTGCAAACCAGCTCTTTATGAAATGGCATTATTTGATAAGCATTCTCTCCCCTAGTACTGTCTCTATAAAAGAATAAAACTAAAAAAATTTAATTCAAACACTAAACTAGGATGCAGAAAATAGACTAGTCATTACATTTTATTAAATGGTACAAAACATAAAAGACCATTCTAAAGAAATGTCTCCTTTTTAGCACAACTTATAATCATTGGGAATTACTTTAAATACTTTCTCACGGTATAACTAAAAGTAAAGAAACATTAAGTCACTGTAACCAAGCACATCAGATATATGCCCATTAGCCATTTTATAGATAGCTAAGTGAAAAAACTGTAAATTGCAAGTAAAATTTGAGTTCCTTCCAAACAGATGTATCTGTTCTCAGACAATTAAATGTGGCTTTCCCACTTTCCTGTCCTAAAATCCTCAACTGAAGTGTCTTCAACTACTTCCCACGACTAGATTTATTATACTGCACAAATAGCTTAACCTCTCAGATCCTCAAATTCTCATCGGTAAGATGAGAGGTTTGGGTTGGAAAACTACAAGGCCCCTTCCAAATCTAAAATTCTGAGCCAATTAAAAATGACTGAACTTCTAAAATGATGTCTGTTAGACTACTGGAGAAGGCAGAAAAGGAAGACTTAACATACATCTATGTTTAAATCAAAAACTTCTTTTAACCAAGTTCACTTGGCTGGTTATTCACGACATTGAGGCGTGGACCTTGGGGAAGCTCCCGTGAAAACACGGATTCAACATAAACTCACTCCAGTGATTCCAAGCGGATTTACGATGACTTTTCCCTTACCACCAAAACGGGAAAATACTTAGGGCCGAATGGAAGTACGGAAGATGGGTCCAATCTGAAAACTGAAGTCTATTTGTAATCAAGGCCCAAGGTGTGAGTTCTAGCTGGCACTTTTCTCCTTCTCCCCTTTAACTCCCAAGGCCAAACTACGAGTGACGAAGTCACCTCAGGTCAAAGTCTAGGGCTCTTCGGATGAGGCAAGGAATGACCCAGGAAGCCAAAGAACCCAGAAGCCGTGATGGGGTGTGGTGAGGTGCGGTGGGGCAGGCAGATCGGACAAGAGCGGAGGGTGGGGTGCTGCGAGAGATGCCCCAACTGCTGTTTTTCACTCGACTCTCATCTTTCACCCCTGATCCGGGGGAGGTGGGTGAGGGGGCCGGTTCCCAGGCCTTGACAGAACTAAGCAGAGGTGGTGGGTGAGAAGGTGACAAGTTCAGGGCTCAAGGCAGCCCCCACCGGGCCGGGTCGCAGCCCCAGCGCACCCCCACCTGGCCCGGGGCACCCAGAGGGCAGAGTGGGCACCACCCTCGAGACCCCGGCCCAGCGGACCCGCCGCCGCCCCTCCCCCGCTTCCCAGTGAGCGCTCGCGGCCCCGAAGTCGATCCTTACCACAGTGCCACCACGTAGGAGATCCGCGCCTGTCGCAGCCTCTACCTTACAAATCCGTCCTCTCCGCCGAGCGGGAGCGGCCGTGGCACCGCAATCCGGGACCGCGCAGCCCCGCCCCCGGCCTGCGCACAGAACTCTGCTGGACCAACATGGCTGGTGCCGCCTCTGCCACGTCAAAGGGAGGGGGAGGGGCGGGGCGGGAGGGAGAGGGGCGGGGCGGAAGGGAGAGGGGCGGGGCGGAAGGGAGAGGAGAGGAGAGGAGGGGCGGGGCTGGAGGGCGGGGCCACTCTGAGGGCGGGGCGACCGAGCCGCAGAACCGCAGGGGGGCCCGCGGGGGCGCGGCGGAGCCCGGAGGTCGGAGAAGGGGAGGAGAGAAGGGAGGGGGAATAGGCGGAGACGGAGCTTGAGGGGCGGGGCGACAGTGACAAATCTGACACGGATACCCGGGAGAGGCGCAGAAACCCGCTGGAACTAAAATGCCAGGGTGGGGCTGCGTCGTGGCGATGCGGTCTCCTCTCCCGGGAGTCACGGCGGATCCCATTCCCCGTGGGCCTCCACGATGTGGGACCTTCTGTCGCCAGACTCTTCACCTCGTTGAGAGAAACGGAGGTGTTCCCTAGGACATCCTCTCCTCTAGGACCCTGGTTGATTCCAAGAACAAGCCGCATCTCCCCTGAAAAAGCAAAGTGAGAAGTTCGTTCTTTCGCTTAGTACAACAAACATTTACTGAACATTTGTCTTCTTTGTGCTAGGCACAGCAGCGATGCTGTGATACCGCGTAGGCAAAAAGGGCCAAATATTCAGTCTGGAAGAACTTACATACTATTTATGCACTATTGATGTATTCCTCGTCAGTTTACCTCCCCTCCCACACTGCCTCTGCCACCTCTCCCCCCTAAACACATACAAATACACACACACACCCTGTACAATCTTTGGTTGATTAACCTTGATGTCTTTTCCTTGATGTCTCTTTCCAAGAAAAGAATTGAGCAAAATGGGGAAGACAGAAACTGGCTGGAAAGACACTGGAGCTTGATGGTCTAAGACAACCCCACCCTTCAGTGAGGAGTTTGTTGACTAAAAAAATAATATAGTCACAACCTTAAAGTAGAGAGGTATTTTATTTGGTGGGAATGTTAAGGACTTTGAGCCCAGAAGCAGCATCATTCA